ATCAAAGGCATCTTTCCATGTGAAGGTTAAGCAGAGCTGTGGGAACAGAGAGACACTTTCAGTTCAAGTAGTACTCTTTTGGAACTAAGTCTGAAATCACAATGGTGTGGGCTGTCCTATCAGGTACCTGGTTTTCAGAGAAGGGAAACTTGGGCTCCACAGCACACAGTTGGTCATAGTACCTGGACGGATAAGGAAAAAGTATGATTAAAACCATTTGTTTTTATGCGTTTCAACGCACAACAACCGGTTCTGATTGTTATTACAAATCATATGTCACCAATTCAAATGTAAAGTTAATTTGAAAAAAATAATAATCAAGAAACAGGTAGTGATTATTTTGACATAATTGCAGATCTGTGGTCTGAAGAAGCATTATGACAATACGTCAAAAAATATATGGTGTGAAAATACACTGCAGGTCACACATACACACTCACAGTACACACATTCAGTGGGAGCTCCTCCGGTCTTTTTCTTATGAGTACGAGTAGTATTATTTTTATTATCTGTCTGCGTGTGAAGTGAACCATCTATTATTAGGAATGACAACATGTGAGCAGCCAGTTAGAGAATCTCCCTTTACCAGTTCAACCACCCTGCTTTACAATTTCCAGAGAAAACGTGAGTGTGACCTCAGAAATAAACGAAGACTCTCAACATACAAAGGTCATCTTTATGTTCCCCATTCAGATACACGAGGACATGCATAGTGTGCAAAGAGGAAAACTGAGAAGAGGTTTGCCTCCATCTGGTTAACCCAAGAGAAACATAAACTCCCTAGACAAACAATGGTTGCCATGGTGACACGAGTCTGTGGGCACTTGTAAGGGATAAAGCTCGTCACCCTGGCTACCAGGGCCAACAGACGACATGTGCACAGTGCCAGGGAGAGACAAAGCTAGCTGTCAGTGCTCACAGCCCATTCTGCACAGACATGCTAACTCCCAACTTGATGCTATTTAAAAATTTAAAAAAAAAAGAGTGTCCACCAACCCACAGATCCTGCATCTTACAAACAAAAGATTTAAAAATGTCTATACATCTATACAATAAAGGCATCATAAGAAAGAGTAATCCTTAAAGAAAATCCTTAAAATTAAAACACTGGAAAATATCTTTATGTTCTGTGATTAGCATCTAATTTTCAGGCAAAAGCCATCACTTTCTCCCATCTAAAATATTACCTTCAAAGTGTTTGACACAAACTAGGGATGAATCTATACAACAGTTTGTTAGTTAGGTGCTTTAATAACCCAGCTCAGCTGATAGGACAATGGATCTGACATTTTGTCCTTCATTCTCCAAATTAATAACCAGTTTTAGGTTCATTTTAAGGTAAAGACTAAGAATGGACTGCGCCCGCTTTTAGCAGCCCATCGTCAAAAATATTTGCACCAACTATATTCTGGCACTCTGGGCTGTTCTTGTTTTGAAACTAAGCGTAAAGAAAGGTCGTCTGCACTCTAAGCTGATGGATCCGTTTGCCCTCATAAAGATCTAGGAGGGGAGGGCAAACTTTTTGCATTCTTATGCATAAAGGCTTCAAACCTCGTGTGTTGTGGTTGAGCTTCAAGTCGCTGACAGCCCCAGACTGATTTAAGCCCTGATTATTTTAATAATAGTGCTGTCAAAGTGGTATTTACAGACTTTATAAACAGATAGTTTATTTTAAAGTAATATAGAGGCAGAATTGTTTTACAGATCACTATAAAGTTTGCATGTGAAATCTCTGCGCTACACTTACAGCTGAGTGCAATGTGCTGTGGTTTTGCTTTTATTTGAGTAAGCGGAGAGAGAGACAAAAGAGAGAAGGAGAAATTGTGCCGATGTAAAACACGGGGCTCAGAGGCGTTAAATAGCACCACTGATTTCGTGGCAAATAGCGCTGGTCGCTTTGTTGATGACATGATATTTGCAACAAGGCTCATCTGCAAAGGAAGGGGTAATTGTGCACTGTATTTTTGAATATTCTCTTAATTTACATACAGGCACACCCAGGAGGCTGTCGGCTTTGCAGTGAAGTTTGTGTGCAGTTTGCGCGACCTTTGTTGATCCACGCCAACTTGTTTCATTTGCACAGGTTAGGCACCAACAATATTATTTTGTATATCTGGGCCAGATTGTTTAAAGATTGTATTAGCACATCATGCTGGGGAAAATACTGATCAAGCAACTCACATAAGATCAAGTTGAAGAAAAAGGAAGCCCCTCACCCTGTTAGTTAATATCTGGCTTCAAACGTATTCAGGGCAAACCCTGGCCATTAAATAACTTGTGAGTCACAGAGAACAAAGACAGAAAAGAGTGAGGGCAAAGTCTGCACCTATATGTAAGGAGCATGTTTTTTAAAATAACAACAAAAGGTAAGGTTTCGTATTTTAAAAATCAAGGATATGGATTTTTGCAACTGTTTACGACCTCTGGCAAGGTCCATTGGGCCTCAGTAGTTTAAAGATTATATGTCTACATAATAAGTAGGAGCAAGACAGATTCGGGCAGGGTAATTGGAGCATAGGACACAGAGGAACTTTGTTTCACAAATATTAATCCGATTTTCTGTCACAGTTCCTCAATGCAAAACTGTGAGCATGTGACACCTTGAGTTGCATCACTTATTGTGTGTTTTATACAGTCAGAGCATCTATTCAAAACATTACATTTATAAGGATAATTGTCTCAGGCCTTCTTTGTAGCGCATGTTTTGGATTTTCAAACATTAACAGTTGTTATTCTTATCATGTTCATCTCTTTATGCTAATATGTTAAGCTCTGGTTCCCTTTCCAAGACACCCTGGATGTCTGATCATGCGGTCACCATAGGGCTGAAGGCCTGAACTTGAGAGGCACCTGACAGAGGAGCTGGCTGTGTTTGGACTTCCTCTCTGATTCTGCATGGATTCACAGTTTTGTAATCATGATTTTTGACTTTTCCCAAGCATTTCTAAGCTGATTATTTGAAAGTAAAGTTGCATGTTATTATATCTGACTCTTTAACAGCATAACCACCTCATCAATAATGCTACACACTGTGTGTGTTTTTAATAATAAGTCTTTCCACAAGTGGAAGTGTACATACCTGGTATTATTCTGGTATTGTATTTTTTCTGCCTTTATTTAACTGATGTACATATGTTTGATTTTTAACTTCTTGTTATTTTTAATAATTATACTCCTGTTTTCTGTTTTCTTGAGCTGTTGTAATGAAAACATTTCCCCATGGGGATCAATAAAGTTTATCTTTATTGTCCACTTGTTTTTTGTTGTTTTGATGTTTCTTTTCTATTTGTTTATGCCCTCAGTGTGTAAATCGTCACATGCAATGTCATTATAATAATTATTAGAAAACATCTCTCTAATTTAGTCAATGTTTGATATTTTACTTTTACTGGAATATAGTTATTAAATATATAAAATATATAATAACATGTGCTTGATATATATTTATATTTTTGTTTTAAGTGAGGTTTCTGTCTTTTATTACAATTAATAGTAACAATAATGTTTAAGATAAAGGTTTAGTCATACTATAATAAGATCAACCAAACCAACAACAAGCAGGGCCAACATGGATAATCTCATTTTTAAAAATATCAGACAGTTCAGCCAAACAAGGAGGCATGTCAAGTGTTTGTCAGCCACTCAAAGAGGCATGGTGACATATGAGTCATTTATCATGCCAAGAAAATTCCTCCTAGCATTTTAGCTTGACCAACTTTAGCTTCCATGTTAGCAACCAAAAGCTAACTCATCTGGGTGCGGCAACGACAAAACTAATGAACCGCGACAGGTAAGAAGTTTGTCAGTGGAAGTAATATAGTATCTAGTGCAGGTATGTTATGAAAAGGAGCACTTCGTACCTAAGAAGGATCTCCAGGGAGCTGTCGTGTTTGTCCAGCGGCCTCCCCAGCGCGTTCCTGCGGAGCTTGTTCAGCTCCTCCACGGCGCGGATATACTCCCCTTGCTCCTCGCCCGCAGAGTATGTGGCTGACACAAATTTCGACAGAGGTTTCACCAGATCCACCTCGGATGACTTTTTTAACGGGACTGAAATAAACGTTGCCATTTCGGCCCGTAAAAGCGGTATTTTGAGTCAGAAAACAGAGACGGTTGGCGATCAACAAACACAAACAACAGCCAGCGACTCACTTCCTGGATTCTGACGGGGAACGTCAAAATACGTCATGGGAAACTGCGACGCGCACCGCGCAGAATCAGTAGATTAACAGATAAAGATTACGTTATTGAAAGAAAATGAGCTTTAGCCGCTTAAACTTTGATAGGAAACTGTGTTTAATGATCAATCTCCTGAATGTAAAATTAAAAGGGCAGGACTGAAAAATAAATTAAAAGAAAAAGACGACACATTTTTTTTCTGACAGGTCTGACAATCAACTGCAACAACTCTATCCTCAATTGATCCCCGCTATTTATTCTTTAACAAAAAAAGACAATTAAGCATGAATCTGAATCCTAAACATCTGCTGATGGAGACCTTTTGGAAAGTGTCTTCTAGTGTTCTCAATCTGCTCAACAACCTCCAACAACCAATCCCTGCAGAATCAATTCACTGTCCTACAACAAAAGGCCAGTGTTTCTGACCGTCACCTCTCATGTAGTTACACAGGTTAATCATTGTGCTCAAATACAGGATTTTCCAACACAGAACACTGATTATCTTTGGATTATCTTTTAAAAAAGTTTGGTCATTTTAGGGCAACTATTATAGACACCACCTGTCCTCCAACAAAGAGGTGAAGAAAAGTCTACAATATAGCCAGGTTAATCTCAGATAGAAGGGAATGTAATAACTTAAAAAGGAGGATTTCCAGTTTGAAATACACATGCATTTAAACATAAAAAGATAGGGAACTGGAATAACTAAGCTAACATTCAAAGGCAAGAAATATGACGGACCAAATTGAATAAAAATTGCCATCTTATTTACTGTATGTGAGTTTTGTAAACAAATATATTGTGCGGTGAAGCAGGACACTAGAAAAAGTTATGAAATCATTTATTCCCAGCACATGTGGTTGTGTACATCTCCAGCATACGATACTGTTCACATGAGAAGCATCATCATTGACATTAGGCTGTACATGAACTGTGGTCACCTCTCCTGCTTACACTGTCTCACACAGACATACAAACGACTGGGTCAGGTCTTTGGGGGACCAAAACTTGATGTCACATCCATTCTATTATTCACGAATTCTTTGAGTCTATGAACACAGTTAACTTTGCCTTGTAAACATCACAAGAGCTACAGTCCTGGCTCTGGCGCATGGTGAGACATCAACAGCAATTTTTTTTAGTCTCCAAATCATTTTTTCTCCTTCTTTCAGGTGAGTATAACGAGGTTGTGGCTGTAGGACTACTGACTAAACATCAAGCTTGAGTTTTGTGATTTTTCAGTACAGACTTGGTCTCTAACTTATGGAGAAAAACAGAGGGGTCAACTCATCAAAAACAGAGTATATCTCCCTCTCTCCTTTTACCATCCTCCACATGCTCTTTACTAAATAGCAAGCTAAAAACTTACATCATACCAACAGGAAAGAGTTAATGACAACAACTGACATAATTAAGTTTTCTTTGAAAGAAAAAAAAAAACACATGCTCACACGCACGCACACACCATCTGACACTTGAAGGCGCTCAAAATGTTTGCAAATTGCCAGACATTATGCACAAAAAATCTAAAAAGGAGGGTGAACTAAACTAAGGATCTGTGTGAGACTTTCTGCAACTTTTCAAATGTAAAGGCCCTGCAAACCAACACCTTGCACTTAAGCTACATTGAAAACATTTTGAAGATGGAGGTGGAGCTGCCATGATGTTCTAATCATCAGCTAAAAACTATTAAAACCAGGCTACTGCAGTGATACATTTCTACCAGCCTCCTATGTGTTGGGTTTGTTTCTTGCAGAGCAGATCCTGGAATAGAGAGGTTTATGTAAATGCAGCACACAAGCAACTCCACTAGTTGAGGGTTTCATTTAAAGGCCATTTAATCAATTTGATAAATGTTCCAGTGACCAAGGTGTACCAAGTCAAGGAGGGGTTTTCCCTCAGAAAATGCCTATCAACCTGAAACCTGTTTGGTCCACATTAAAGAAGGTTTTTTTTTTGTTTTTTTTGGAGAAGGCATCCTTGTCCGTGAGTTAGTTGTCAGAAGATTTGTTCCTCTGTTTTTGACATTTATGGGTAACATCCCAGAAGGAATAAACCTCACTCCTATATAGCATTGTGGCAGAGTCAGCACAGAGGAGTCAAAGATGTCCACTGTGTTTGTGAATGTGAGCAAAAGTTTGGAGTAAAAAAAAAAAAAAAATGGCACCAGAAACAAGTCAATTCAATGAGAGCATCAAACACATTTGATCCATAAATAAAGCATCAACTAAAAACAGTTAAAGCGCAAGCCAAACAGGACACATGTTGAGAGACAAAGATATGGCTGGACTTTAAACGAGTGAATGAAGTCAGTCCATTTGACAAATTCCCAAGAAAAAAATCAAATAAAATGTTTGTGACATCCATAAATTTGTCCTGAATATTTCAGGGGTCATCGAACTCAGCCATTAAAAGAATGGTTCATTTAGACAACCCTTGTCGAGAATGTTAAGCAGAGTAAGTTGGATTTCTCCATCAAGCAGGTTAGTGTGTTGAGATCGCATGCTGTTCAGCAGTACAGGTTATCAAATACTGGCCTAGTGGTGGTTGTGTGCATTGTGTAGGAAGGGCAACGAGCAATAAGGAAACTCTGCTTTCTTTTTTATTCCTCCTTCAAGCCTGAATGCAACTCTAACCTCTCTGCTGGAGCCTCCCCCCTCCCTCAACCCAAGCATTTAAAAGGCAAAATAAAATAATAAAATCAAAATACATACAACGTCATTAAGTTTCCTCTGACTCCATATCCCCCTCCGGTCTCTCTTCTTTTACCTAATCTTCTCAGTTAATAGTGTTTTCAATATGAAACAGTGGACACACCCATGTCAGATTCTAACATTTACATGGCTTTTAGCACAGTCTCTCTCCTTTCCATCTATTGAGCCATTCAGAGAGAACAGGAGGAAGTAGGAGGAAAGAGTGGGAGGCAGGTGAGGGAGGGACGGAGAGGAGGCTTCTGCTCCAAAACAGAGGGTGATGTATTAGTGATGCCATCTGTTCTCCACACTATTTCAGGATTAGATGGAGTCCTTCGCCCAGTTCATCTGTGTAGGAAGGAGAAAGAGGTTTATTAAATCCCTGTCCAATGGGGATCTACTGAAACTACAAGATAAGCACTCATTCTTGAGAATTGGGACACAGCCCTATTTTATTGTGTTTTCTATTTAACTCTTTAATTATGCTGCAAAGATATATATATATATATATATATATATAAACTGTCAGAAGTCTTGGCTATTAAACTTTGTAATGGGCCAACCTCCCTGTGCTTTATTATTATTTTATTTAAAAAAAATAGCATTTTCTGCAGCTGAGGACTTGAGTTCCTTACAAAAACAAAACATCACGGAAATGTTGACAGTGGTGAGTTGCCATTTTAATTGACGTGTAATGGTTGAGACACACCTGATAGCAATATTTAATTATTACTGCAATAACAGAAAGCTTAACAGTGATTTAGCATGCATATATATATATATATATATTAAAAAAATCTTACAAATAGATGTATTTCATCAAAGTAGATTATTTCAAAGTTATAACACTGAATTAGTGTAGTGGTCATTTAAAGTTGTTTTTTTTCAGAAGGATAAGATTTGTCCTAATTCTCAAGAATAAGTGCGACACAGTCCCTGATATCACGGCATCGTGAGCTCACCTTTCACAGTGCTGATCAAAAAACAGGTTTCGTCAGCCAAGTTGTAAACCATCTGTAAAACACACAAAAAAGATAAGGTGAAATATGGCTGCAGTAAACAGTGGTTATTCAGTACAAAAGCTGTGTGAGGATGTAAATGACATGCAAATGAAGTAAGTCATTGCATACAGTGGAGCTGTTGCTTTTGAACACTAAACAGTCACACAGTCTTTTTTATTTCTCTACACGGTAAACTTAAAATGCAGTCTTTCCATTAACTCTTGACTTAATTAAGTTCTATCTTTGCATCTTTTTATAGCCTGGATACATTTAAACTTGAGGGACATCCAAAAATTATTCTATAGAGTTGAAAAAATTACATTGATACATTAAAGTATTGTACACTTGGATGAATAAAAGAAAGCATTTTTAAAAGGAAGCATAGATTAAAGGGTTAGGACAAAAATGACCAGAAAAGTAGTTAATTCTAAAGGTGAATTATAAATGTATACTATTGACCCCCATCATCTTGCACATTCCTACAAGCAACTGTATGTATATAATATATAGAATGTCCTGTTTATAGTGAAGTATTTTGAGTGTCTACTCCAGTTCATCTTTTCTATTACAACAACAAAGAGCCCTCTACTGGTAGAATATTTTTAAGGTGCTGGTGTGCTGGTGTGCGTGTGTACCTGGTCACTGAGCAGGATAAGTATACCAGTAGGACCCTGTCTGTACACCTGGTTGATCTTCCCCAGTGGAAGGCAGCACACACACGCCATCTTGCGGATGAGTTCTGCAGCTGTGAGCTCCTCTAAGTACAGAGCATGATACACTGAAAGGAAATAGAAGAGGTATTATGCTCAGGTTAATAAGGACACTATGTATTACACTTTGGACTAACATCACTGTCATGATGCTGTTAAGCTTGTTTACCGTGTAAATTTGAGGAAATGCTGGGTTCTTCGTTTTCATTGGTGCCCTGTGTCTCCAGCAGGGGGCTCTCTGGAGGGGACTCCTGACAGACGTACACTGTTAACCTGGGACGTACTGACCTGCACGCAGAGATTAAGATGCATGCAATGACACATACTGTACGAGCAACTTCAAAAAGTTGAGTACAAATACCACTTCCTGTCACACCTGGATTTGAGTGCATTGAAGAGTCTGATCCCATCTGCTGGTCCACAAATCTGGACCAGGTCATCCCGGGTTAGCTTCAACAAATCAGAACCTATGCGACAAATGAGAGGAAAATGTCACTTTTACTCCAGCTGTTACTACATCCCATACTGTGTGTGTGTGTGTGTGTGTGTGTGTGTGTGTGTGTACCTGAGAAGTGAGAGAAGAGTCGTGTGTACGAGTTGAAGCGGTTTTTCAGCAGCCACTTCTGTGCGTCCTGTATGGAGGCAGTGGGGCTCAGCTGCTGCTCGGGACACAGATAAACACATGATGAAGGGTTTATGTACAGAAGACACTTCTGCTTTTCCGAGCCAGTGAGTTATCAATCATTAAACTTTATTGGTTAAGTACATAAAATATAACAAAGGATGATATAAGCACTTCAACGAACAATAATTCTTATTTGATCAGGTGATCATTTAGTGGACAAATTGTACATTCTGAAAATGTTCTCTTTTTTAAAGTCACGTAGAGCCTGAGCAGTGGACAAAACATAATGGCACTTAGTTTGACTCAGCAGTTACGAAACGGAGCGACATCAATTTAAACAAAAAGTCTGCATCATTTTGCAGACAACTACATGGCTCCAGAGCGTTTTCTGTCTTTTTCCAGTTGAAGGATAATATATGTAGTGAACACATAATGTTTTTTAATGTAGGCTAATCTATTTATATGTACAATCAGGTAGGAAAGCCAACGTTTTTGTCGGTTGCTTGCGAGGTCGTAGTAGACCACGCAGAGCAACTTGAGGAGCTTGTTGAGCTCACGTTCAATTTTTCTACTGTTACAATTCAAAGTGTCTGTTGTGGAAAACTTTAATTCTGTTACTTGTCTACTAGTTTACCTATTTAATAAGACAAGTGCAGACTTACCTCGGAGTTTCCTTGGCTACCAGGGTCTGCCTGGTGATTGGGTGAGGAAGAATCACTACAACACAAGAGAAAAGAAGAGTGGTGAGAGAGACAAAAACCTCGGTGAAAGAAAACAAACACACACAAACAGAAACTCTCAGTTACCTGTCAGGTACTGAGGAGGTTGTGTAGGTGGAGAGCGGGGCGGAGCTGAAGGTGGGAGTAGCTGCCTGGTTGGTGCTGACGTAGGCATTATCTGGCCACGGGGAGCACTAAGGCGAAAGAAATATGAAAATCTTAGAATGTATTGTAAACCTTTACAGCATCTCCACCCCAACCAATGTCAGATACATGGAAATGAAGGCTCTGAAGGTCTTTCTTTTAAGATTGAGGCTTCAGCCAGAAGTCTAGAGAGAAGGCTTAGGGTGTGTGTGGGTGGATCAGTGGGGCAAGAGGAGCTGGGTGCTTACACTGCCTCTCTTGGCCAGGGAGTCGCCACAGTCAGCGGGAAGTGTCCGCTTGCTGGACTTTTTCAGCTCGTGATCGCCGGCATCCTCTATGATGGGTTCAAGTCTTGTCTGCTTATAGACACAGAGCAAAGGTTAGACTGCCAAAGAAACACAACCTTCAGAAACACACTTAGTCAGCCAGCCCCTAGTGCAACATACAGCATACAATTTTATTCACAGCTTGGACTAAGGATTTTATAAATATAGTATATGCGTGTGTGTGTGTATGTCTGTAATTTTGTTTAACTGGATTTACTTCAGTTTTGTTTATAGACTGGTAAGCCTGGCAAAATAAAAATGTGATTATTCTGTAACACATGGTCACATGCGTTGAAGAAGTGACCTTATTATAGTTTGACTGTAATCTTGATTTTTTTCATATATATAGAAGGGTCAGGACAATGGTGATTGACAGACAGATCTACTGAGCCCAGTAGGTAAAAGGTTAGCATTTTAGGGACTCACAGATGTCTTTATCAACTAATAGACCATATTCCCATGCAGCCATGTTGCCGTGACTTCACACTCAGGGTGGGAAGCCCAAACTGTTATGCTCCAGGTTTAAGTCATGTTAACCTCCCAAATCTGACTAACTCTTTTCATTTCAAATCTTCCCAATTAATGAGAAAGTACACAGTCAACAAATCTAGAGACAAACGGGCCATATTAGGAGTTAAAAACATATTTAATTAAGTATTAGCTACCATTAGCATTCAGCCACATTCTAGCCAACATTTATGTTTGAGAATCAGGGATACAATGTGCAATTGGTTTGAAAGTGGCGTGCAGTGCTCATCACATCCTCTATATGTTTCACAAACTGACACATGAAAGATGAAAATGTATTTAACAGGGGTCTTTAAGCCTGGTTGATGTTCAGTCAATAACAGCTGCGTACTGACCTCTGACAGGATAGTGGTATCATAAGAAGGTTGGTACTTTTCCTTCTCTTGAGGTGTGCGTTTCTCCATCTTCTCCCTGTCGGTCTTTTGCTTACGGTCCGCCCCCTTTGGCTAAACAGGAAGCAGAGAAGAGCAGGAGACCATTAAGGAATAGGAAGAACCTTTTCTAGAGCTTGCATGAGATGTGGTGTAAAAACTCCCCCCCCTCTTTAATAAAAAAGCCAGCGTGCACCTTAAAGACTTTGATTTGGCAGGAGGCAGAGTGGAGGTGTTCTGTGTACTCTCCTCCCTCTCCCAGGGCGAATGTGTCGAACTGGATCCTGAAGGGGACGCCCTTCTCTCCGCCATGCTTCCTGGGAGTGAACTCTGTGCTAATGCAGTGCACCTGCAGACAGCGTGTGATCAAAATGTGTTTGATGTTAAATTTAGAGGCACACCCAAATTGACATCACAGAGAGGGGCTGAAGTGTGTGTGTGTGTGTGTGTGTGTGTGTGTGTGTGTGTGTGTGTGTGTGTGTGTGTGTGTGTGTGTGTGTGTGTGTGTGTGTGTGTGTGTGTGTGTGTGTGTGTGTGTGTGTGTCACCTGCACAAAAACAGAAGTTCTTTTGTTCAGGTCCCACAGAAACTCTGCCGCGTTCAGCTGGGAGGGGTGAGTCTTTGGCTCCACAATGCCCACTGACATGGGGATATCTATCTCGCACACACAGATATTTAAAATGTAGGATAACACACATGGGACAGTACAAGTATTCGTTTCTTGCCGGGCATCATTACCTATGTCAAGGAGACGGTCACCGGGACGATTCCACTTCCAGCCCTCCAGCTGCTGGTGCTCTGTGTACTGCAGCCGGCGATCATGAAACACGACCCGAACTATGCTCTACACACACAAAAACACAGAAACATAACTATCACAGCTCTGTGTTCTCCTCAGGTGGTCCTGAGAAAAAGGACTTATTAGTTAATGTGGGAGCACTTAGAAGAAATATTTCATGTTTCATTATAAATGGACAGCAAGTAAAGACTACAACCTAGCATCACATTAGAAATCCCAAACAAGCCAACAATGGATATGCTGAGAGGATCGTCTCACCTTCACCATCTTGTTGGTGAGCTCTGGTAGCTCCCCTGGATTCCTGTTATCCAACATACGCACCTCGTAAGACTGGCCTGGAGGGAGAGAAATTAAGAGAAAGAGGGACAATTCAAATATTTCAAATTATTTGATTTTTATAAAGACGATGAGGAAAACTCCTGCACGCAGTCTTTATGCTGATATATGAATCGAATCACGTTTCTGTCTAACCGACCTTCATCAGGTGTGATGGCAGCATCAGAACAGCTCCATGTGTATGTACAACCAGTTAAAACTACCTCCATTTTTAATCAATCAACAATGAGAAACAATCCTGGCTGATATTTTATTTAGATTATTTTAACAAAATCCAGTTAATCTATGATTTAAGATGAAGCCTCTTTCCAGTGGACTTCATTAGCAGACCTTAAGACACAGCACACTCACACTAGGCATTCGTTACCCTGCCTAAGCACGCTTCACCCTCAAAGTCCTGTTGGTTTGACTAGTGTGAGTGCTCTGATAAGCACGGTTCACTTCCTTGGCCCTGGCATGCTTGGAAGAGGTGTGCTTCGGCACGGTACAGTTCATACACAAGCATGGGAACATGGACAGCCTTCCATTATCGAGAAATCCTGAAGTTCTATGGCTTTATCTGTTATCTGACTCAAAATAAGCCACAAAGTGAGTAAAGTTGCAGTCTTGTTCTCTATGTTGTTTTCTCCGATGTTATGTTATAGTCCTCCTGTCTTGTAAAGAAAGCATGCTTCATGATCACGTGAAGCCATGTATGTGTTTTATTGCAACGCTTTTTAGGCCACAAGAGGTAACCGTGCTCCGGCCCGGTTAGTCCTGGAGCAGTGTGAGTGCAGGCAAGTGGAGAAAAGGGAGAGGGTTACAATCATACTTAAGCACGGTACGGAGCAGCTGGGTCTAGTATCAATGCGCCCTAAGTTAAAGGCCCAATCAAAAATACTTTGGACTGACCAACCTAAATTTTTTGAAGATTTATTTTTGGTATTGTGGATGGAAATAGAGGAGAAAGAGAGTGGGGACTGGCATGAGGGAAAGTATCCACGGGTTGGATTTAAAACTTGGGCCATGCGCTTTGAGGACTACAGCCTCTGTACATGGGACACACAAACTATCCGCTCAGCAACCAGAGCCCCTGTTGTCCATGTATTTTACTACAAAATAGATTCACAGACATTCTGAGAATTGAAGAAGATGCCGTTTCATTCTTCCCTTTTCTCTTTGGTCTCAATCCTCTTTATGATCCAGTCCTTGCACACCACTGATGCTGAACAGTTTCCAATGCATATAGAAGTGCTAGCACTTTCAAAATTTAATAAGTTGTTTTCCTTCATGTTCAAACTACGGTGATGGTGCAAGCTGATGCTGTATCTCTCTTGCTACAGTTTGATTGTTTCTCGTTGGAGCTGGCTTGCAAAAAATATCTATCTTAAATACTGAAAATGTAGCACGTACAGTCTAAAAGAGAATGTAAACAATACTTTAATGGAAGGATTCTGCACTGTGAGACATGCCATGTGCTTATTTAATAGTTGTTAATCTGCAGTGCTTATCATATGTTACGGTTTAAATACAGGTGTCACACCTTGGTTTAGGTATGTGAGCGTCTCGTCATGCAGCTTGACAGCAGGGGAGGTGGCGGCGCACAGCACATACTGGAATGGGGGATTTTTGGTCTCGTTTTCAGGAGGAAGGCTGGGGTCCTCCTGCTTGAAGATGGGCAGAGCCAGAACATCACTGAGAGAGACAGAAGAACGACAGAACAGAAAGAGAACATGAGCATGACAGTTACGCAAAAACAGTCATTATCAAAAAGCATTTGTGGCAGCGTGAAAGTTGTTCCAAAAGCAGTTTGATCACTATTTTATTTGCCTTTTGGAAACTTTTTTTATTCTTTAAATTGGACGTTCTTGTTTTTCTACTTTGCATTTTTCTCTTAAACATATCAATGCTTTGGGTTATTTAAACTCTTACGATTTCCTTCTTTTGTAAGACAAAACTTGCCCTCTTCATAGTGGAGAATGATTAAATGGATTGGCTTATTTTAGAATTAGTGACGAGGGCTCTCAATCGATCAAATGGCTCTCTATTATGTATGCATGAGACCTCAGAGGGATAAATGAACAAAATCGTCCAGAGATAGCCTGAGCTGCTGACACACGAACACTTAGACACTATCTCTGACAATTGGCAGCGACTCTAGACAGGAAACCTGTCCTCAGCTCACCTTGACAAATGCTCTGGGATAGTCAACCTAGTGTGTGTTTATGTATATTTGATTGCAGAAAAGGAGTTTTATCAACACAAAGAAAAGCAGCTCGTGGCATCTCAGTAGATGGAAAACATATGCTGCTTTTAACCTGATCCAGACTTACATTAAGAAAAAGTGCCTAACAGCACCTTCCACCCAAAACAACTTAATCTTCAAACAGCAGCCTGCTACATTTAGTCAAACCACTTCTTGCTGGTGTGATTTGCTCTTCAGAGCGGGTGCCCAGCTCTTGGCAGTGCCAACCTGGGTGCCGCAGCCCTACTTACCCAACTGCCCAGGAAAACTATGTCTGCTTCCTGAAACCTGAGGAGCTGGTTGCACCGAGACATTCTGTTCCTACCAGCTGCTGACTCCAAACCTGCCCTGTAACTCACCCCAACACCACAGATACCACTGACCCGGCACAGTTTCCCCCCAACTTCAACAGAGACAGACAGGAAATGTATCCATCTTCTACAGACACATTATCAACAGGTGAATACATGCGTTTCCTGAATCATGAGACCTAAGCATTTGTGAAAATCCTGAGGTCATTTAATTAAACTTACTTCAAGAGACTATCAACAGGTTATGAAACAGTCCAAATTTAATACAGATTATCTTTAAGTCAAAAAACTCAATGACCAACTAATTATTTTGAATGCCTGTCACCGGCAGGATCCAACGAAGCAACTCAGCATGTAAAGCTCTGCCTGATTCTTAGGTTTGTTTAGGTAGACGTTGATCTGATATAAAATAAATAAACTTTTCCAACTTTAGATGATATAGTGAGATTCTAAATCAACTGTGATGCATTGTGCCGTTTTGATATGCACTAACGTAACATCAAAAAACTTAAATTCTTTGATCAGGAAGAAGCAACAGTTGACATTATTATTTCAGTAAATAATTATTAAAGAAAAATACATCCTTTCATTTCAAACATGGATGTTAAAGTTTTTTTTGACAGCTTCATTAAAAAAAAAAATCAGCTTCTGCAAGTTATACCTCCAAGTCAATTAACCCTTTATGCATCTTTTGCACTAAAAACAAAACAGATCTTTCTCCATACATTTTATATACAGCACTTTGTTCCCCCCTCCTCACTGCTGAGAAACAAAGCCATACATTTGTTATGATAGATCTGTCAGTCTGAGGGGCCAAACAAGGCCCTTCTTGCAGACTTCCTGATATGAAATGTACACAAAGCTTAGCTTATGTGTTTGACGCTTGATATCATATCAGATATGTCTTTGTCTGTCATTGTGCAACATATGAGGGACACATTTTCTGCTCAAGTTTGGGTTAAAAGATAATTTTGCACCCTGCAATGACTACACTACTCCAAATCCCCCAAAAAAACAAAGAGCAGTCATCACACTGACAGGCAAGGGAGGATGCAAAGTAACCTCCTGAAGACAGTGTGTTGTTCTCTCTCTAAAGACCTTGTATAATGTCATGAGGCTTGCTGTGTTGACTCCGTGTCTAACCTCATGCTGTAGGCTCCAGCCCCCAGCTCCTGCCCGATGCCTGACAGGCTGGCATCGAAGTCGTGCACCAGCCCCGACTCTATAGTGGCGTCGTCCATCTTCAGCACCCAGGCCATCGGCCCCAGCTCCTTGTCCTCGGCTTCTACTCGGAGGGCCGCCAGCTTGCTTCAGGTACGAGGGCTCGGCTAAGCAAGGAAGTGGGCTTTGCAGCTTGTGAGCGACACCGTGTGAGGAAAGTTATGCTGCTAGCCCGTTAGCCGCTTCTTGGCAAGCTGGGAAGGCGAATTGATAGCTTTCCGCGCAGACTGGATGTGCCGCCATATCTCCTCTCGAGGTTTGGGGGGGGGGGAAGAGGGGTGGGTGGGGTGGGGGGGGGATTGTTTATCACACAAACACGGAACTCCCCCACTTGTCTTATAGTAACTCTGCGTTAGCCTCCTCTTTAGCGAGCTAGTCGTGACTGAAGACCCGAGCTGATTGTCAGCATGCTAACGTTAGCAAACAGCTAGCTAGGTCCACAAAGGCAAGTCAAGTAAGACTAACATGAACCCAGCAGCTCAGGTGTTTCTCCAGGTGCGGTCACTTCAGTCAGTGTAGCTAACGTTAGCTCAGAAAAATGCAACAAGGGTGATTGTTTTAGTTCACTCGCCGCATCCCACGCAGCGTCCGCACAGCTGTTGCTACCTAGCTACCAGGCTAACTAGCATCAACTTGCTTTCAATCCACTGTGTGATGTGACCTAAGAGCAGCTCTCCTCTGACCGTACCATCCCAGACCGCTCTCCTCCTATCATCGCGGTACGAGAATCACCGCTAAGGCTCCCAGACCTCAAAACGCAGTCCTGTAACCATCCACAACGAAGCGATTGACACAAAACCAGGCATCAACATGGCTCCCTCAGCATATAGACTGTCGGTCTGTGTAGCCTGCAGGGCTGCCACCGCCAGCCTCAGGAAGGATGCCAGGACGTCGATCAACCAATCAGCGTCCGCCTTCTGTGCCAAGCGCAGGGCGATCGTCCAATCAGAGGCCTTTGGGCTTCCGTCATTGTGTCCATAGGGTCTAAATGAATGTGTGCAGTGCCTCCCACAAAATATCTAAACTTGAAAACATCAACTTTCTTTAAAGTAGCACTTACTCTTGTGATATGTATGACTGGCTAACATCTCAAAACCGTTTAGTTTCCAATTGTAACGCAAAAATTAATGCAAATTAATTGTATATTGTATACTATATCGTATTATTTATTGTATTTCTTATTTGAATATTTGGTTTTAGTATTTGTATATTTCTGATATTAGGCATCTACAGGCTTGCTCCAGCAATATTTCGTTGTACTTGTACAATGACAATAAACATATCTTATCTTATCTTATCTTGTCTTAAAATATATGGCATTGAAAATATGGCATAAATGGAGAATAAGGCTATCTTGAATTTCTCTTTAATGCACGTAATTTTTGTCTTTAGAATCCATAAAATATACATTCACACAGACAGAATCCCCATTGGTGTTTTTAATTACAATGGTTTGCAAATGTTTTAGCATATTGTTATAAGCACATTATTGATACCACTAAACTAGTAGAAGAGATCCCTACATATTTATGTTTTTTCAAATATACTGTATATTTTGCATCGTTTGTGCTTAATATTTTTAATCTGTATACTGTCTCCGTTTGTGCAGTCACCGATGATACATTACGCTACTTGCCAAATATTGTTAACAAAGATCAAGGCTTGCATAGTAGGCCCAATAAAAGCTTTACTTTAACCTCCCATCTAGAAAGTATAAAACATATAATGGAGCTTGAAAGTAACACACTAAATAGTTTTTGATTATGTAACCGCAGCCCCAATGCAAGGCTTTATTAAACCAAGCTCAACACTAGACTACCCCCTAAGCCAAACCCACTATGAGATAGCCCAATCTTAACATTGCAATAAGAGAATACATTTGGCAGCAAGAAATAGATCAGAGAGCTTCCCCCTAGAAAACACTTATTTATTTTTAACAATAATAAACAGCCATTGATCAAATGGTGGTTCAAAAATACAATCATTTTTTTATTACAGTAAATACCTGTAACACTCTACATCATGTATATTAACCCATCCGTCACATAATTACATATTTTATTATCATGTTTATTTCAGCATCCTTTGCACATCTCAGTCTTTGTCGTTGGTGACATGGTTGCTTAATCTTACCAACTAAAACTCAAGTCTGGTACCAAGAATGTCCAGACAGATGCCTGTGATAGTCTCATGTCGTTTCAATTTCCTGTAGGTTTTATTTCCAAAGCTATTCTTTTGTATCACGTAATCAATCCATTAATGCAATTAAATGGATTGGTTGTTTGAGAGATAGCCACCTTTGTCTAATTATGTATCATTAGAAAATCAATTTAAACTTAATCAAGAAATCAAAGTGAACATTGAGAAAATAAATAAATAATGAAAAACCGGACCTTATCCAAATTTTGAGCAAAAAGGGATGACACGCAACTTGACACAAATTTTGAATGAACAAAAGTTGACCCCAGACCTGTCGCATATTTTGAGCAGAGAATTCTTGAAATGCTGACCGTGGATCTGTTGCGTGTTTTGGGCTAAAATGTTAACCGCAGACCTGACACATATCTTGAGCAAAAAATGTTGATTAAGGACCTGATGGAAATCTTCATAATTGGGCATGATATTGCATTACTGCAAGGTAAATGCAATAGATAATGACAGAGTTATGTCATGGAACAAGTGGTAATAATAGGGTCTCTTTTGCATTCTGGGCAGTCTCTTATGCACTGAGCTATGGTCCCTCGCTACTGAGGCCAGCCTTTAGTCTAGAATTTATCACAGTTTTGAATAATTGTAATAAAGATGCACTGGATAAGCGAACATAAATGTTTGGCAGCACTGTGAGTCCAAGACAAATTTCCCCAAGGGGACAATAAAGTGTATCGTATCGTAACATGAAATATGACTAATGTCTTGGCACAGGTTGAAATCAAACAAGTTTCTCCTGGTATTCTTTGACAAAAAGGTGCAGCTGCTAATCCACAGAGCTATTGCCCTGCCCTTTCTTGAGGGAATCCTTTAGAGTTTACAACGGATCATACTATTGCGTAATCACAGTTTAGGAACAGGCAATTTAACAGTTGTAACACAAGTGGGAATCAAACAAGGGTCTCCAGGTCTTCCTTGATTAACAGGTAGTTTCTTATCCACTGAGTCCATCCATTGGTTCCTCTCTTTACCGAGGCAATCCTACAGTTCTTTCTTTGCTAATTGTTTTGGAGCAAAACAATAAGTCATATTCATTGCATGCTTAGAGTTGTAGTTCAGCGGTTTCGCTGTGGGAGGATGCAATTGTCTCCTTTAAGCCCTCGGATGGGGGTTCAATACCCCTGGGTGCATTTGATGTACAGATTCAGCAGCTTTAGCTACAGTCAGAAACAGGTTGGGGGATGCTGCAGGGTTCCGGTGATGGCTCTGGGGTAGAAACTGTTTAACCTTGATGTCCGGGTCTTAAAGGCCCTGAAACGTCTTCCGGATGGCAGCAAGAGAAAAAACAGACAGACCGCATGTTTCGAAGGTGTCCTCCAGTGAGGGCAGGGGAAGTCTGATCATTTTCTGGTCCTTGTTGATGGTTATGAGACTGAGCCCTACTCAGTATCCTAACCATTCCTTATTGGCATTACATGCTTATCTTCTTTCCACATGACCTGTTTAGATCTTTTGTCTTGAAAACATCACCTGAGTGATCATATCCTGTGAAGCCTTGCCAAACCAATCGCCCTCCAGGGACAAAAGTCTTAGGATTCTACATTAAAGGTTTGTTTTTCCTACGAATGATGCTGAATGGAGCCTGTGTTAAATGATTACAGAACAGAGCAAAGCGTCTATGCAACAGCAACACTACGCAAGTTTATTATATATAAATGTCCGTTTTAATGCACAACCACCTCTGCTGCACTAAAATATTGCCCATGTTGGGGAATCAAGGTACTGTAGTTGCAAGTTAAATGCACATTTTCTACTCACACGTTAGGAAGTGCCTGATCATAAACAATGCACATAAGCTCATTTCTTCTCTCCGACGTTCTAATTAGCTGATGCCTGATACTTCTCTTATTATTTGTTGCAGTGTTCTGCCATCGTTAATTTAATATTATCGTTTACTACAACAATTGGCACTTTCTCAACACTAGAAATGTTTGCAAAATTAACAAGCAGAAAGTTTAGGAGGAGATCAAAGATTGTAAAGTAGTCTTGTGAGATGAGGAACTTTTGAGTTTGACATAAAAACCTGGTGATACACTTTGCTTCCACATGATGGAAGCAAAGTTTTGTGATGTCTAATGTGTTTTATTTCAATGTGTATAATGAACTTGCAACAACATTATAATGTCTACACCTTCTCTTATAATAGTCAGATGGGATGTTTATCAGCTCACATTACTTTAAGTCACCTACTCATATGAAGTATCTCTAAGCTGTTAGTTGTATGTGTGATATTGATATTTTTCTGTAAACTCAATTTATAAATTATCTACAAATAAAATGAACAGTTAGGAAAGTTGGCTTTATGACCTATTATAAATAAATGTCAGACAGACTCAAAAAATAGATTCCATGGAGTTCATATTTGAGGCTAGAGGGTACATTTGTTTTGCAGAATATATTGATCCTTGTCCACGCTTGGTATTAGGGAAGAGGAAGAGTAGACTGACAAGGGATTCAAAAAAGTGAGAATAAGGTGAAACAATGCGAAGGAAAGGTTGTGGGAGAGGGGGGATAAAGGGGTAATGAAAACTGGAGTGAGCAATGGGTGATGTGACGCTGTTCAGGCAAGACGTTGCTCCAACAGCAGGGTCAGTGAGAGAGAAGGAGAATTGTTATTGGGATAAATATGTATCAGTTGTGTGAGTAACAGGAAATGTCTGGCTGTTTTAACAAACGTCTGCACCAGCTTTTATACCAGGAGAAAACCAGCATAGAAGAGTCAAAGATACAAATGTTTCCAGTAAAATCAGCCTCAGTAGGCCTTAATGGAGTGCATCCATGTGACATGTTATTATTCTAGAGTAGAAAAATGTACTGGGGCAAGTTTTGGAAAAGGCTGATGTCCACATATAAATAATTACTCGCTTGCTTCTGAATTTTACATGAGATACTGATTCAATCTCTGTGGATTTAATTGTCGCGGTATTTCTGTTCTATTTCTGCTCTCAGAACATTGTTTTGTGCTTGCAGTTCTTGTGTAAGCATCACAAAGAGGTGTGACTAGTGACCATTTTCCCATCGGCATTTAAATGTTGTTCCTGCTTATCTTGTTGGTGAAAGTTGCAACTAGACACTGTCCTCTACGAAGGACGTGAGACAGCTGCTTCTATTTATAACCTCCAGCCACTCACCTAACACGAGACCCCCGTGCCTTGCTCCTGTCTCAGTACAGCAAACCTGGTCGTGGACAAACGCACAACACCCCCACAGACTGGCAGAGGAAGTCAACAAAGAAGTAAACAAGGGAGGCAGCAGAATACAATCACCCAGAGTTGCTTGTCTGCAGCTCTCACCAACAGCAAGAAAACTTGAAGAATCAAGACGGGCTAAAAGATGAAGACACTGCGCTTTCTTGCTGCTGAAGGCTTCATTCAGAGTGGGCCGAGTGCTTTGGAGAACCTAAACTCTGTGTCCTTTAACCTCTACCCAATTCTCTTTAAGGCCTGCTACCTACATGAGCAGGCTGACCTGCTGCATGCTTTAGTTCAGGCATGGCCTCTTCCTGAGCTCAACCTGCATAGACTCCTGGGAAAGACAATGGACTGTCAGACGGACCTCACCTCCAGCACCTGCCGCCTTTGTCTGGAAGCCATTCTAACTGGCCTGAAGGTACTTCAGTTTGTTGCATTGCTACTTTAACCCTATATCTTGTGATGTAATTTTTTTTCCAGTGTGTCTCCCTGTTCGTTTGTTTGTCTCGATTCCTCTCTCTCTCTGTATCTCTATTTCTCTGACCAGACTGGTCCTGGAACATTAATCTTTTATTACACATAGAAAAGTGACCTCTATAATAAACATAATCAGTCCTTGTTTCATCATTATGAAAGTTGCTCATGACTACCAGACTGATCAGTCTATTATCATTATCAATACTTTTAGCATTATTACTGACATTGTAGCGTTAAATCTTATACATTGTTGTTGATGTTATTGCTCCAAACACAGATTTGGCAGATGGCTGTTCAACATGATTCTGGTTCTGCTCAACGTTCTGCCCGAAAACTTGCTAATGTTATAACCACTTTTGATTAAAACATTTGTATTTCTCATGAAATATTAAGTCATAATCATGTTTAAGTTAGATTTTTGTGCTGTGTTTTTCAGTTCTTTTATTCTAGATGTTACTGTCTTAAAGACACCTGCTTTGGTTAGGTTTAGCTCATAATGATCTTTAATGTTTATAGGTTGTCAGCTTCTAAACTTACAGAAATGTTCCTTATTTTCTAAAGGATTATGTGCTGTCGCCTCCGAGAACCTACACAAAGAGCCTGCAAGTGGTAGACCTGACTGCCCTGAGAGACATTGAGCATCAAACCTGCCCCTGCAAGTCAACCATGGGTCGATGGGCAAGAACCCATCTCCTGACCCAAATGTGCTATGAGACCATGGTAGCCATGCAAGCCGGTGATGTGTTGCCCTCTGCATTTGAAACATCCATTGGAGTTCGTCTGAATGGATTCGTCACAGGCCGCAACTATGAGCTGGTGGCTCAGGCCTTCCTCCTCCTCCGCTACTGTCCGCTGAAGCTTCACTTTGTTAGTTTCCGGGCTGATTCCCTCACTCTCAAGCAGCTGTTCTATGTTCTTCGCCTTGCAGAGCCTGAGACCATTGTTAAGCTGGAGGTTGTCCACAATGTTCCCCTAGAGGCCATACACTTGGAGGTGCTGCTATCCCGAGTGGAGTTCCCAAAATTACAGACTTTGATCCTGCCGGCCGGTGCGTTGGATTGGAGGAGGTTGGGCTCTGATGATGAGAATCTGTTGGCCACCATTGGTAATCTTCTGGCAAATCTGAGTAGCCTGACTGAGCTCTATATTGGTTTCTCCACCCTTACTGGACACCTGCGCAGACTGCTGAAGTGAGTAACTAGATGGAGGGGGGGGTGACAACATTGTGTCCTTGCTTATTTTTATGTATCAGGTGATAGAAGTATTTTGTCGTTAAGATTGCTGACATGATGCCAGAGTGAGGACAGACATGAACCTGCTGGACAAACTTCACAGTTCAAAGGACAGGAGCAGAGACCTCAAGTTTAAGATTTAGTAAAGTTTAAGATTTAAATTAATCATCGCAAATGTTTCTCGACATGGTAATAAACTTACTTCCTAAAAGATGTGCATTTCATTTTCCCAGTATTGCTGTCACCCTCACTACATGAGAAATGCATTTATACAATTCTTCATCAGAATATTTTAATGGTGTTTTTTTATTGTTTAAACTTAGAGAGTAGTCTTAGTGCTTTTGACCTTTAGTCCCAAACCAACTAATCTCTTTTAACATCTTTCTTTACTTAGTCCCCTCAACACTCCACTGCAGTGCTTGGACTTGACTAACTGCTGCCTGAGCCGTGTGGACATGACGTACCTCTCGAACAGCCTCCACAGTGAAGCCCTGGTCCGCCTGGACATCAGTGGACATGATATTTTCGACTCTTTTTCCACGTCATTCCACAAACTGATCAGCCGCTGCTCTGCCACACTGTCCAGTCTTACCCTTGAGGAATGTAACATAAAGGACGAGCACATGGACGCCTTTACTAATGTTCTGTCTTGCTGTCAAATGCTGGAGGAGCTCAAACTCTTGGGAAACCCTTTGACATCTGCAGCCTTGCGGAGGTTGTTTTCAGTGCTTTCTGCAGGTTTCCCAAAGTTGAAGTACATAGAGGTACCAGTTCCCCGTGATTGCTACCCTGAAGATGTCACGTATCCGCTTGATGATTCAGTCCTGCTGCGCTACAACCAGGAGTTGTTTCAGGAGGTCAGGGAGCAGCTGGTGGGGATCCTGGAAAGAGCTGGAAGAGGGAGCGTGGAGGTGTGCACCCCACTCATGGGAGCCTACGACCCGGACATTAATGAAACCAGTAACGAGCTGGGAGTATCCATGTTAAAATCTTTTAACAATGTCATTGGGAACTTCATAGGAACCATAAGTGATGTGGACAATCGGAGATCACAAGCTCAGAAAGATGATTAGAGGGTTGTCTGTCCAGAGATTAGAGATTTGGATTGAGTCTGACAGATTTTTGACATGAATCTAGTGATATCTGTTAAACTGACCTGAATCTTTAAACACAACAGACATGTTTAGACGGGATTGAACCATACAGACAATGTATTGCTTTATAGTGTGCATTTTTGTTAAACTATAAAAATGAATCCAGTGAGCAATTTTTGACTGAATAAAAATTAAATACAGGTAGTGTAAATGAAAAAATACTTTCTACTTCCAAGTGCTTCCTACAGTCTGAAGCATAAAAATATGTGTTGACTGTAGACAGATGGAGCTACAATTATAGATGATACAAGAAGTTTGTATATGTTCTCATGTATTATATTTTAAATGTTGTATATTACTGGATTTCTAAACTTTTTTTTTGTTATAAAACAGGTCTGACTAAGCATGCGTCTGGTTATTTTTGTGATACCAACAAACCAAATCCACATATTCCCTTTAACACAAAAATCAGATAACTCCCACATCCTTCAAAATTTACATTTCTTTAATGAGCACTGTCTCATTTAGATTACATTTCATTTTAAATACAACACCGGGGGACAACCATAAACTGACCAAAGATTAGGATTAACAGCTTTGACCAGGAACCATTTACTTCTTCATCCACTCCTCTCTTTCTTTCCTTTCACGGATCACCTCTTCCAAATATGGTGTCAGGTAATGGACATCCTTAAGGGAAAATAAAAAAAGTTGAGGTTGACAGATTACACCAGGTTATAAATATATTCAAAATCAAGTCTCTCATTTCAAACATCTTTTCAGACTTAGTAGTTATAGTCATTATGTTTACGCCACTAAAAAATATTGCTTCATTTGTGGTTGTCTTTTTATTTAATAAAACTTCTAATTATCTTTTAAATTACAACAACATTTTAACACATGTAATTCCCTCCTGTTTTAATTTGTCTCGCAGGATGATTTAGTAGGTTAATCCATTGAAATAAGCGTGTAATGAGAAATAATAGAATGAAAATGACACTTTAGCAGTCTATAAATACAAATTAAACTAATGGATGAGGAAAGAAGGCAGTGTACTGTGATCTTTACATTAAACCCCACCTTTACCCTCAGTTATAAAAATGTTTCTTTAACATACCTCATCATATTTTGTCCACTGGTCTTTAGGAAGGATCTGCTGCTTCATGGAGAGATCCAGGGCCCTCTTGACCCTGAACATCCTGTCATTGTAATGATCTTCTGGAAGCCTCCTCAGGGCCTCTTTCACATCTGAATCCTCGTAGACTGTGTCGTCACGCATTAAACCTGAAAAAAAGACAACAGGCAAACCGAAAGATGCTGAAAGTCAAAATCTACTGTACAACTTAATGCATCCCAAACAAAGACGTTTTCAAGTTAAATGTACATTTAAGCTTCAAACATGTAATGTTTATTGTACGAAACTCTTCCAAATGTCTTGACTAACACATTATTCTTCAGCTTACCCAGCTTGTTGAAGCCACACATGCCATAATACCACTTGCGGAGCCCCACCAGGAGCCTGCCTGTTGCAACTGTGAACATGACACATGAAAAGACACAGACAGGATCAGACAAGCTGCACAACTATTATAAGAGGAAGTTTTCAAAAGTTGAATTTTATAACAGTGTTGTAGTAACACCACTGTTACAGTATACAGAAAATTCCCGGGCCCTTAGAACTCTAAAATTTGGGGCACTAAGTTCAATTTCACAAAATATTTTCAAACCACGTCTTTTCATGATAAAGACAAAATGGTAAAACTGTAAAAAGGCAGTAACAGTTTTTGTCATTTCTGGAACGTTACAGATGTGCTTTATCATGTGGACAGATATCTTGAGTCAATTGTGTTGTTGTTTTTTGAGAAAACAGTAGGTTGTATTTGCCTTAACTTCCAAAAGCCCTCGAGAAACCAAGGCAGAGTCCAGTAACTTCACTTATAAGAGTCTTTGCTTTTGTACTGCAGCATTCAGGAACGCTCAAACTGAGTTAAGGTCTTCTGCGGATCAAAGTGAAGTTACTGTTTTACTGCAGTGGAGTTCAGGTGTTATGTCTTTGTTTTAATATCTGTCATCAAGCACTTCTGACACACACTTAACTTGACTAAAGTGTAGCAAAGAAATAGTGTTGGTTGTGTTATTTTAACCATGCAACCAAGTGAAATACAGCATCAAATGGAAGTGAATGCCTTTTGCATTGGCATGACCCTGTTATTATTATACAGGCAATGCAAAGGCAGAGTACCTTAACTTCCAAATAAAGGGTCAAAGGTCAAGCTTGACCTCCAGATTTTTATGTGCATTAATAACCTGATTAAAAAGACAAAGAATTGCCACATTTCCAATATTCTACCTGCAACTCATTTGGCTGGACAACAAAAAGACTTTAAAGTCATGTATCTCCACTCTGGAGAGTTAAAGTGTTTTGTCTTTGTAGGACAGAATAATAGAATAACATGTTCAAACAACATAGTGTAGCTAACACCAGAACACATTAGAGTTAAGATGTCAATCTAACAATAGACGAGCGCAATAAGACCAGTTTGGTAACCTTTACGAGCTGTTCTCCATCAACAGTTTAGTGTTTTTAACATAAATGTGTGTTTATAAGAAGCGCTACATCGACGTTAGCAAACCAGCACCCTTAGCATCTGTTAGCACGGGGACACTAGAGGACACACACAGAACTACAGAGTTTAAGGTCATGTTAAACCTGACACATTCAACAGAAGGAACTATTAAGCTTTCAAGTCTTAAATGCGTCATGATTCACCTATACAAATCCATTTAAGTGACTTAAGTTTAAAAGAAAGTCAGAACGCGACGTTCACTCACCTGGTGCCCTCGACGCCATTTTTATCACTGACAACGACCGCGGTGGATTGTGGGTAAGGAGTCAGGTCAATGCGGACGTTGCGAAATGTACAGTTTGTTTCATAAACTGTAAATATAAATATAAAACTGTTTGTCGCGGATAATAATTCATCAAAACAAAATAATAATGTTTGAAAGTTTTGGATAGAGCTATCTTAATGAACAGACATAACTCGTGATGTAAAAAACAAAACAAAAGAACTACAAGTCTGTTTTTTGATAAATATGGTTTCGTTTGACGATAAAGGAATTAAGGCGAAGTCCATCACAAAGTGCAATAAAACCAGAATATAAAAATTATTAAATTATTATTAAAGATAAAAGGTCTGCATACATATTCTAACATAGAAGTGATTAAAGCGGAAAAAAACAGCATTTAGAAGATAAAAAAATACAATATTCAGAGGAATGACACACTATTTATTTTTTAATCTATTTTTTTGTACATTCTTAATTTTTATTTATCATTTTTTATTTAAATTGTACTGTGTTCACTTTATGTTTGCAATCTTTGCTCTTTGCTGCTGTAACACTGTAAATTTCCCCATTGTGGGATAAATAAAGGATTATTTTATCTTAATCTATGTTATTATAGATTTGATCAATAAGCATTCACATTTAAGATGTATCAAAATACTTTTCAGCAGCAATACTGATTTACAGCTATGCATTACACTGTATGATCTCGCTTTTATTTTATGTTTATGGCAAATCTCCTGAACCTACTGACACATAGGCTAAATGTTGTGTAGTGAAACATACAATATTTTACTTAAAAATGTATTGGATTAGATATGTTAAGAATCCGGCATTGAAACAATCAAGTAAATTGGAGGTTTTTTGAGTTAGTAGTGAAGTACAGTGTGTGAGTAAATTACGTAGAAATCCCCAACTGAGGAAGTGAGACCTTTATGGTCTGTATTTGTAGTGGGTTTTACCTACTTCATCTGGGCACAAAGTCAAAGTAAAAAAGATTTATATTTCAAGCAGAATATATATTGTATACATTTATTTAACATCATATTTACAAAACAAATGTTGCAATGCAAACTTAGTTGATGCTCTGTATGTCCAAATGTAATGCCTGCATGGTTCTGATACTGTGTTACATATTGAATGTTCTTGACCACTTGTTTTATAAGACCATTCGATCGTCCACTTGTGAGGAATTAAAGTGTCTTTTGGAACAAATCAAATTCTTCCAAAGTGGCCAGAGCCAACTCAATGCAAAAGTTCTCATCCGGCAGAGAAACCAGGCGTTCCAGTGAGATGTAATTGGGCATCGTTGGATCGTACTGAGCCCTGCCCAGGTATTCAAGGAACTGGTGGCGCTCCCGGATCCGCAAGTACTTGGCATTGAGAACCTATGAGAGGATATATCAGATGCTCAAATTATCATACTGCATTTGAAAGAATTATAATTTAAATCAGTTCATTTGAACAGAAATCCCCCAAAAAGCTAGAAAATCAATAACAAACCACAGTCCATCTACCTGTGGAAACTTGGCGATCAGGTGGTGGGGCACCTTCATGGTGTTGTGGAGGAAGTCAAATATTTGGGTTAGCTTCCTTTTATTAGCCGTCAGCACTTTCGGGACAGCTTTAGCTATATGTTGGATCTCATTTTGCTTAAAGCCAAGCTCTATTTCACACACCTGTGGAAGACATTAACAAAAAAATATTTATACACAGCACCTCAAGGTTACTCAAACACTTTTTTTCTTCCTCCAAGTAAGATTCTTTGTCATTCAATACCTTTAAATTTTCTTTAACCGGCTCCAAGCTGCCACACAGTAATCTGGGCAGACGAGCTACAATGTCCCGTGTCTAAAGAAAGAAACAACTCTAGCTATGATATGCTGTTCCAATTTCTTATAACAAAGTTGATTTCATTTTGTACAAGACATGGGGATAATATTAATCTGTGAAAAGAAAAAATATTTAATTGATTTCTTAAATATGCTTACATTTGCTGCACTGAGGTTGAGATGCTCCTGATAGAACCCCAGTCTGTTGTCAAGCCTCTTCACACTAAAGTTAAGCAGATATGGTGCTCTGGACACCATGGAGGCAACTGTCTCAGAGCTGAACTTCTTTGATCTAAGATAGTTCACCCTTTTGAAAACAAAAAAAAAAAATGTTAAAATCACAGCCTGGTGCAACTGCAAAAAAAGAAAAGTGATGTTCCACTCAAATCTCAAGACTGATTTAATTTAATTTACAGAAGTTTGGTAACTGTAAACCTGAATCATATTCTGTTTCTGAAATCCCCTCACTCACCTGGACTGTAGGTTTTCCAAACTCTCTGTGAGGATGAAGGGGTTGTGTGTGATGATATAGCCAAAGCGAGAGTGCTCCACTCCCACTTCTTTGAGAAACAGCAGCCTCGGGGCCACGTCGGTATTAAAGTTCAGCCTCAGCAGCATGGACCCTACATTAGGCCTTTGTTCAAGCTTCCATAGGTTCACACCTGCAATGAGAGGTAAACAAGGGAAAATATAAACTTTAGTCACAATTTTGAGATAATGGAGTGAACCACAATCAATCTAAATATGCCTTCAACTCAATGTGATTAACATTGTTTTAAGCTAAAGCCACAGATTGAATTACCTAGCTGTACCAGTTTGCTTAGTGTCTCAGACTGGTCAACATAGTCTCTTAAAGACGTGGAGGCTGGAGGCATGTGAGAGGGAACAGATATACCGATAGCCTCTTCATCACCAATCTGCTCTAATGCTGAAAATTCAGCAGCAGCATCAAGATCTGAAATATTAAGAGTATCAAAGACAGAAAATTATTATTTTCACACTTCTTACATTTTTTTTTTAGTCAGATACTGTGTTACATGAAAACGTTCAACAGCAGCACACCATTATGTACCTAAAGACATCTGGCTTTCGGTCACTGGCAGCGCATCTCTGATGGGCAGTAAGGGGTTCTTGTATGCTACAACACTGGCTTTTGACAGCTCTTCAGTCTCCTTGTTTTCCTTAACCTCGGTTGCCCGATGTTCAGTAGAGAAGTTACAATTGCGCAAAATATGCTGTTTCCACCTCAGCCTTGCCTGAGATGGTTTTTTTTCATCCTCACTAATAACTGCGAATCCGTGTAGACATTTGACAGGTATTCTTGTATACGCAGTGCAATGGTGAGCAGGGGGGAAGCACTTCCAGGTACGAGCCACTGTCTTGGAGAAAGGAAGACTTCTGCATTGAAGACACAGCTTTGCACAGAACGAAGCCATAGCAATTCTGCAATAAAAAAGAAAAAAAAGAACTATTATTGTTTAAATGTTAAATACCATCACTGCTGAATAAATACTACTTCATTAAAAAGTACAAAATATACCAACTCTCAAAACAATGCACCTCAACAGAGTAACAACAATTTGAAGGTGGCTTTAAACATGTATAAAAACTGCTCAAAATCTAACATTACTTGACTGCAGATTAGGATCTGATCATAAACATGCTTTTGCACATTGTAAACATTGCAGGAATAAGATAATGTTCGAGGCTACTACAGTGCAAACATTGTTTTGGCCCCACACTGACCAATTTAGCTGGCCATGAAGGCGTGTAGAAAGTCCCCAGGTGTAAATTAAAGCTACTCTGAGAGGCAAATAAAATACTATGCCCTTTCATTGTTATTTAAAAAGTGCGGTATTAAAACATCAATGGTATTTTGAGGCGTCATTGTCGTCATACGTGAAGCTAACTTGAGCAAAATGCATTGTACAATGTTAGCAAGTCGGAATAGCGAGCTCTTTAAAGCATGGACAAAAACAATCATCAAACAGCTTTTTACTCACACTTTGTTTCCACACTCAAAAAGGTTTTATTCTCCACCAGGATCCATCCTCTACACAAAGTGTCGCGCAATGTCAAACGTTTTCACGTGCACAGGACTTCACGGAAGTGTAACACCGTGGGATGTACCACATAGACATATTCTGTGGTTGCCGCGAAATGCAAAAAAATATACTCACAGAGATAAAAAATAAAAACAAAACATTTAACAGAATAAAGACACCAAAATAATAAATATCTGTAGAGTAGTCGTGTTACCTATATATTGTTATTGTGTTTTTTGAAAACTTTAACTACCATTTTCACATAGAAACACCCCTATAAACTGGATGGATGGGTTCGTCTTCAGGATTTCTTCATCAGGGGCTCTCTTGGAATCAGCGTATCTTCCTGCTTTTACAACTTCTTACTTTAGTCACCCCTTTAAGTTTAATACGTAAAATGAAGAAAGTGGCTGACTACAGCGACACAGCAGCCGTCACGCCCAGGAGACATTGGGAGGATGATGTCGACTATAAACTACACTTCCGGATGATAAACGATCAACAAGTGGAGGCTATCTGCATTGATTTCTTCTATAAGCCACACACCATCACACTCCTGACTGTAACTGTGCTCAGCCTTATGTATTTCGTGTTTTCCAGGTAAACTACAGTGTGAAACTTTGGTCTGCCAAGAGCTGTGTGTACATGTGAAAAAACTACACAAACAATTCCTGTCTAACACTTAGTCATTTGCTATAACTTACTGTTTAAATTGACAGTTCTGAATATCTAAGACTATGAGCTTCCTTTTGTTAACATGTGATGCTGTTTTGTTACAGGGATGATCAGCACTTTGACAACAATCTCCGAGTTGGTCTTTTGGTGGTTGTTTCCTTCTTCCTGGTCATCAGTGTCCTGGCCTTTCCCAATGGTAATCTATGAAAGTACATGTCAACTTCATCCATGGAAAAAAAAATCAAGTTCCAAGCTTTTACATCTTTTAAGCAAAATAGCATATTTAGCTGGCTCAGCTTTGTAAGTTTGCTTCTGTTCTTTATCTTATATAATATAACATTCATTCATTTCTGGTTTAACCAATAAATCATTTTTTAATTACTGTCTAATTTTAGACCAAATTACTATTTACTTTACTTTTCAAGGTAATGGTTAGAGCATTGATAAAATAATAGTTTGCTTAAGCCCCACATACTTTTGCCATGTTAAATTCCAGTTTGAACATTTGTCCCTATTCATTCATTTGTTCTTAACTTACGGGTCAATAACTACTTATTTTCTGGAGTTTTCTATCTCTCTATTTTGCACTTAGAGAGGTCTCTTAGTTGTCATTGACATAGCACAGTTGACATGTGTTGTCAGGGGTGGTTGTATTTAGAGGCCTACATACTGTCACTAAATGATAAATGTGCAAACTTGCATCCACTGACAAAGCCCTAAAGATAAGGTTGTTTATCCTGGTAAAAAGATAGCAGTTGGGATTATTTTGTTTTATTTTTTTGTCAAATAAATTTTTACAATTACACAAAAAGTCACTTGCCAGTATGCTGCTTTCTTCATCAGGACCTTTTACCAGGCCACACCCTGCAATATGGCGAATGGTGTTTGGTAAGTGTTTAATCATATCCTTCACTCACTTCTGCATCGTGCATTATAACCAGATGTTTCTGCTTTGATGCAGTTTTCTTAATCCTCACTCACTTTCTCCTGTCCTGTTTAGGTCTCAGTGTTATGTACTTCCTGTTTCTTGTCTTCCTCATCTTCCTCAACTGGGACCAAGTAAAGATGCTCATGTACTGGCTGGACCCAAATCTGCGCTATGCCACACGGGAAGCCGATATCATGGTAAGGATCGATTAACACTGGCAACTGAACCTTTTGAGCAAGTTCACACCCAACTTATACTATGTAATGGAGGACGCAATGGAAAGAATTGCTTTTGTAATGTATAGGCTCATTTACTGGCTATATTCATTAAAGTGTTTCATTCTGAGAATATACACCAACATACAAAATGGTTTGTTTAAAAAAACAAAATATTCTTTAGATCATAAGTCATAATAATTCCAATGGGGAGAGTTATTACTGAGCGTGTGTGATATATTGTCAAGACCCCTCAGAGACAAATGATGACTTTGGGTTATTTGAATAAAAAGCTGAATTGACCATCGGTGCTCTCTGGATCCTAATAAAAAAAAGACTATATGAGAGCATTGGTGCAAAGTTAAGTGGAAGCTGAGCTTTTGCTGAGACAATGAAATGAGAAGTGCAGTAGAGTTGCCCTATCTCTGCTCACCATTACCAGCTATTCAACTATCTCCTTTTCTGTTACCTTTATGTTTCCAATCATTAAATCCCCACTCCCCTGACAGGAATACGCTGTAAACTGCACAGTGATAACATGGGATCGTATCATGAGCCACTTCGACATCTTTGCATTCGGCCACTTTGCAGGCTGGGCCATGAAGGCTCTGCTCATCCGCAGCTATGGCCTCTGTTGGACCATCAGCATCACCTGGGAGCTGACTGAGGTAGAACACATGTATTCATGATAAGGTCAGGCTCATGATAAGGTCAGGCTCATGCTGAAATCGGCTCAGAAATGTTAGAAAACTGTCTACTGGGTCATTGAGCAAAATAATTTATTGTCTTATTTATTCCCTCAGTCTGTGTAGGCAACTACCGTATGATTAGGAGAAACTAGTCTGAAGAATGTTTAAGTATTAGCAGGAGATAGGACATAGTAGGTTCTGGATAAGAGAACTGACTAGGTTGTATGTCCTGTAGGGGTATGGGGGGGAATAGTCAACTGACCTAAAGCTCTTCTTAGGCGAATAAGTTAATGTTCCTTTCACTCTCACTTTCACATCTTTTCACAGCTGTTCTTCATGCACCTGCTGCCCAACTTTGCAGAGTGCTGGTGGGATCAAGTAGTACTCGACATACTGTTGTGTAATGGAGGAGGCATCTGGCTGGGCATGACTGTGTGCCGCTTTCTGGAGTTGAGGACCTACCGTTGGGCCAGCATCAAGTCAGCCTTCATCCTTATTCTTTTCTTTTTCAGCTTTTGTGTCAATGGATTTTAAAGGGTTGTTAAAAACACAAAAAGCTTAAATCATGTAATGACTACTTCTAAAATTAAAAGGTAAACATGGAGGTATAATTATAATTAAACATACTTTTTGGAATGTTTAATTATATTTTAGTTGTTGGCATGCAATGGAAAGTAAAGCGTTTTTAAACCCCTCTATTGTTTTGTGTTGAATCTCATGCATTTGTTTATCTCAGTGTTGTCAAAAGCTCTCATCCTCTATCCAGGGAAATTCACTCAACCACAGGGAAGATCAAGCGAGCCGTGATGCAGTTCACACCGGCAAGCTGGACTTATGTGCGCTGGTTTGACCCAAAGTCCTCCTTCCAGAGACTAGCAGGCATCTATCTATTTCTGCTCCTATGGCAGGTACTGTATTCTTGGACTTTGAGCCAGAAATACTTTTGATTTTGTCATCAACATCAAAGCTGTAACTGACAATTGTTTTCATCATTGATGTTTGTGCTGGCTGTTTTTTTTATTTTTTTTTATTCCTGCTGCTTACAAATATCAAAGATATTCATAAGACATGCTTTCAGATGTTGTCTGTTTTGCATATTTTGTCTTCCCAGCTGACAGAGTTGAACACGTTCTTCCTCAAGCACATCTTCGTCTTCCAGGCGTCTCACCCTCTCAGCTGGTGTCGTATCCTCCTTGTCGGAGTCATCACAGCACCCACTGTACGGTATGTCGAACCTTTACAAATACATTGTTTCTCTAAATTCTAACAGCAACATTAAGTATGATATACTATTTTTAAAAAATACCCCAAAAATGTTTTACTTTATGGTAAGGTAGCATTTCATCCTGGCCTTACATAAAAAGAGGTGACTTTCTGACATAGGTCTGTGTGAACACCTTCAAGTCTTACACTGTTCTTTCTGTTCTTCACATGTATACATTTCATGTTACGTATTTTCCTCAACCTTTTTTCAGACAATATTATGCGTACCTGACAGACACTCAGTGTAAACGGGTTGGCACACAATGCTGGGTGTTTGGGTGAGTATGTTGTCCTGTAATATTTGTAAATGTTCTAAAAACAAGTTTGGCAGCTGCATCATTAATTATAGTTTAAAAAAGCCAGTAGTAATTATTTGAAAGAATATCAAAAGTAAATTAAAAGCTAGCTTTTAATTTATTTTTATTTTTTATTAATTTGAATAATTTAGCTCAGCATTTCTGATAGCAGTCTGAGTAAAACCACGGCTGTTTTCTTGCCTGAAAGTTTTTTTCAGTAATAAAGGTAACGGAGGAATGTACGCAATAAAAATCAGTAAAATTCTACATTTTGTTAATGATATTTATTCAGGCTAGAATGTTTAGTGTTAGAGGCTTCACTGAAACTGATTAAAATGGGAATTCAATAAATATTGTGACGTAGTTCATGACCCCATCTCAGACACAAAGCTGCTGATGCCCTCTGTCTGCTCCAGTTTCTATAGCAACGCAACATACCCTCTCAGTCTGCACAAAATACTTAACATTGAGGCCACTCTCTCATGTGAGGTTCACTGTCTTTAAACATAAAGAAGGTAGTCTCCAACAGCAGCATGGGGAGAGGATATTTGTATGGGTTTAATTGTTGAGGATTATTTATGCACAGCATTTGGACTGCATATGCCACAAGTGTTTAGCCCTAGTGCAATGAAATTGAGTTACCAAGAGAGGGGGCCATTGTTAAGTGTTTTTGTGCAAATTTCCAGTACTGCTTCATAATTTTTAACATGTATGTGTTCACCCTCAGGGCTATTGCTTTCCTCGAGGCGCTTGCATGTGTGAAATTTAGTCACGACTTGTTTTCCAAGACACAAATTCGCTCTGTGCTTCTGTGGCTGCTCTGTCTGGTAAGAGAAGACCAAAAGAGATGCAGTTTCAGTCTCTTTTGTAAAAATGATTATCTCTGCTTTGCACTTCTTGTACACTATGAATGAGTACCACCATCGTAATCTAGTATTGAAAATAACTGTTATGGTGCTATTAAAACCTCTGCTATTTCTTTTTTATAAGTCAAAACAGTATATGCAAATTCAGAGAAGTCTGACTTGACCTTTTGCCCATGAGTTTACACAATAGTTAATGGGTGCATATTTCCTTGTAAGGGTGTTGCTTTTGAGATCATCCAATCATGCCATTTAAGATCATATTGTGTTTCAAGTCCAGTCTTGCTAATCTACAAAAAATAAAGCTGTTTGTAGCATTTCAAACTTTTGGGATTTCTATTTTTCTGCTCACTTTTTCAGCACACTTGCAGACTTTAAGATTTTTTTTTTCTCCCGTGCTGTTGGATAAAAACTAAAAAAAATGTTTAACGACACTGTTTTTTCTTTTCTTCCATGTTCAGGCACTTATCACTCTTCTATGTTTATATGGGATGGTGTGGTATGAGCAAAATAAAATGAAGGTAAGTGGTTGCTTGGCGTATTGATTGAAAACTTAAATAAACTACACTATACTACATCTATTTAGAGTTTAATGTTAGGTTTGTTAATATTTCATTGTTGCTTACCATCTGAAAAGGTTGCAAAACGTTTTCTGCTTTTTAGTTTGTAATTACTTTTCAGTGCTGTGCAGTTTTTTTCATTGCTGGTCAGAAATATAAGACATTCTGAGCTTTCATGTGTCTACAGAGCTTATCTGTACAGACTGAGGACTGTGATGACAGCGGGGTTGTGGACTTGTGTGAGTTTGTCCCAGATGGTGCCCCAGGTCAGTCTCATAATAGGCAGATTTGTTACAACTCTTTCATAAACTCCATCTTAAATGTTCATAAGATATCTGTTTCCCTCCATAGCTCAGAGGGAATCGGGAAGAAGTTTACAACCAACAAAACGGAGGAGAGCTGCTGGGAGGAATCGATTCATGAATGGCCATGGAGGAAAGAGACAATAAACAACTAATACAGATAACTCTAAGCCTCTGTTGAAAACTATGCAATAATTGTTACAGATTTAACGTTGTTAAGTTGCATGAAGGTGTAAGACGGACTCCTGAAGAAAACCATGCCCTAAGCTTGCAAGATGGTAAGCTTGTCAGAAGGTCAACCATACTCTGTAAATATTAAGAGGTAAACATAAACATGAGCTGACAGCTTTATAGATTTGCAGATTGGGTTGTTTATTCTCTGTAGCATTACCACTGCTTACAGATCTTTAACACTGTTTTACAAGCTAAAAAATGTGTTTGTCTTCTTTTTTTAAACTGAACTTAATAACCAATTATTATACACTGGGTTTGAAAGAGAAGGTGACCTGCACTGTAAAAACAAGCAAGCTAGTCTTATTTGCACTTAATCATTTTGATGGGTGTCTTTTCAAAAGTTACTTTGTACTTAACTACAAATCTGAGGGTCACAAATGTATTTTTAGAACTTGTTTAAGTAATTTGATTTGATACATTTGTTTACATATTTATATCAAAAAAGACTTGATTTTGTACTTGTCTGTATGATATACATTACTTCTTTAATTTAAATTAAAGAGGATTTTGTCCTCTCCAAAAAAGAGAGGAAAGCAAGTGCTACTGAACTGAACCAGCTTTAACATGTTATTCTAACTCTTTAATTGATGTGATTATTACTTATTTACACAGTATGCCGTTATGAGCTATGTATGTGGGTGTTTGTTTTACGAGGGCAAAGTGAATATTGTGTAATAGTTGTACTGACAAAAATACTGTGACACGTAATGTGAAAGCATTATAATGAATTTCAAAAGCAGAGGATAATCACTTTGATCAAATGATCCAAATTAATTAGATAATATAAAATGTTATCTTCAGGTCAATGTAAGCTATTTTTAATACTGTTGAATAATGCATTGTTGTAAGTGTAAGAATTTTTTTTTACAATTTTCCATTATGTTGAACAATGTTAATTAATGTCCACTTATTGAATTTGTATTATTTGAATGTAACTTTTTATAGCAGTATGTTGATTCCAGGGTTTTTGTCCTCTTGCCTTACATTAAAGACCACATTTACTTTATTGTGATAAAAAAACGAGTTATTTTAATTTTATTCATTGATTTTACTCGGTATTAAGATACTAATTTGTGATTTTGTACATGAGGGTTTGCTTGTTTTGTTTTTACACACAATTAAAGTATCAAATCACTCTTTTCTTTTTCACTGTCATTGTGTCCCCTGAGATGTGTGCAGTGGCTGATGCTGTAACTGCTGTGGCATCTCACTTGCCATTCATTATATAATCGTGATTACAAATTGACACTGTTTTATGAAAAAAAACGAATTTCTGAATCAATAGTGGATAGAAGTGGATGAAAACAAAATGTAATGTTGCAACTAATGTCTTAATTATTTGTTGTTTTCATCTAATGGTTTTAACTAATGAATTGAGTAATGGCCTGTTCAATAGAGCATTAGAAATTCCAAAAGCTCAAACTATTACTTCCTCATATTTAAAGCTGGAAGCAGCATTAATGCATTCTTGTTTTCCTTCACAAATTATCAATGACAAATATTTCATTCAAATCAAAATGACTGCAGAATCGTGCTGTCCTTACTGATTTATACATTGATCCAGAATAGAACAGAATTACTTTATTGATCCCAAACTGGGAAATTGTGGAAAGAATATGACTAAACATATTAAAAAAGTGATAGAAAGCCTATGAATTTCGGTATTTTGTCAAAAAGCACTAAAAATGAGCCCATGTCAGGGCAATGAGGGGCTAAGCAAGAGGTTAAAAGGGAACCTCATTGTTATATTTAGCAACTACATTTCCCATAGTGCTTAGCAAGTGGCCGCTGTGCTGGATGACAGCTATCCGGCGCCGAAACACCGATAGACACTCAGACGACAGAGCCATGGCGGCCACGGGTGGAGGGAAAATTAGAAGCAGAAGATATCATATCGCCTCTAAACCTTACGCCAAGAATAAGCAGGTAAAACAAATGAAAGTTTTCGTGGCAAACGTATTTTTTAAATTCATTACAGGGACTGTAGTGGCAGTATCTCATAGCTCATGTTATTGTTTTGTTGGAGACATTTTACGGCCTGCCATTAGCGCTCGTGGCCTCCACGCGCTGATAGCATGTCCGCGAAATGCTAATGAACTAGCCTTACACTCTAGTGAACTAGCAATCTTTCATATGAGTTAGCCAGATCAGACGGGCTTGACAGGTCAAATCACAGCGCAGTGAGTCGTTCACAATATGTATCTGGCGCCTGGATAATTAAAGGTCAACATTTAAACTCCCACTACGAATTTAGCCGCTAGCAAAGTTAGCGGAAAGCTAGGAAGTAGATGTGTTAGCTGATGTAGCTAAAGCTCGCTATCAAAGCCGAGAAACGCATTGTTGTCCTCGCTTCTTAAGTCGCCGGTTGAATTGACATTGTTGTTTTGTGTTACATCTCGTCTGTCCAAAGTTATTGGTCGCCTCAATGGGGTTTGATTTGAAGACTATGTTGATCCCCTATCGCAAATCTTCTGGTTAGCTAATTTAGCAGAATCTCGGGCAGTTGTAATGCGCAGGAAGCATTGGCTGGTCGAGGACCCACATGGTTCACCTGCCGGCTCATGTTGGCTTCAAAAACACATCATGCATGTCTCTGTTGACGAGATATGTGTTGGTACATCATGAAAGATCTGTTTACCTATTTTCATCACGTAGAATAATTTGATTAACTATGAACGAGTTTGTTTACAATAATGTCAGTGAGTCTAATAAATACACGTGTCTTTAATAACAGTGCAGATACTGACAGCACTAGTCAGATATTTTATTAGGTGGATCTTGTCAGCAATACTTTGATGGAAACTCATTCTTCTTAAACTGATCTAAAAGTAGAACTCAAGTGTTTCGTATCTCACACAATAAGCCATGACGTAGCTTAAGTCTGACATTGGTGATAAGGTAATACAAATTAATGTTGTGATTGTATATTAATTAATAAGATATAAACTCGCTTTTTTTGTATATAATTGTTTTTTTTGCATGAATACATATTGTTAAACTCTGTCTTCTACCTTCACTGATACAATGGGGTCAAAAGATTTGAACACAATACATGGTTTAAGACTGGGTCATTTTCAGCTAGGCATACCTAAAATGCTGAATATCTTTATAAAAAATGGTGTTTGTGTATATATATATATATATATAGAGGGGAGAGAGACAGCTTTTATAGAAGTGTCTTATATTTTATTTTTTACATATGAAATGTATTATTACCTGAAACGACCTATTACACAGCCCCAGCCAACATTTACCTTGCATTTAGCAGGTTCTCTTTTTATTCCCTGTTGATCAGGAGTTAGGGTACACACTCTTCACGTTTATGTGTACTACTTTTTGTATAGATGCACTGGTCTTCTAGTGTTTTGGCAAATTAAAATCATCCAGTAGCTTAACTTGATGATCCAGAGAGGGCAATGACAGTCGATCATAGGTTGCTTCTTTACATGACCCTGTCCACAGCAGAAATGCTGTTCTATTAAATCCTTAAAATATAGCTTATAAGAGCCTAAGTAAACTAGCATTGTGGTGGCTTTTACATTAAAATTACACTGATGTGAGTAGTGGCTTTTCAAGATCACGGGCCCTGCCATTGTAATAATTTGTCTTGGAACATTCCTTTTGATAGGGAATATATTTTTTTTATTATTAACGCTGAAAGCCTTATTGAAAACTAGAGGTGCATCGAATCCACATTTTTATCCGAGCCAATTTCGATACCTATGTACCGATACTGATTCCAATATACTGACTGCTTTTAGTTTGTATGTCGAAAGTCTTAACGGTTTTATTTGAGAATGACTTGAAAACTGTTTATGTATTAATATAAATCATTTTTAAGAATCACAGCACCCTGGGCAATTAATGGAGTTTCAACTTCATTTACGATATTGGCTTCCCAAGATAATAAAACAACAGGTTGTGCTAGTACTTTTTACACTAGCCAGCCACACACATTTTACTTTTTTCTGAGTGTTTTCTTAACTTTAGACCAGTGGGTTAGTCAGTCTGATTTAATTTTTCTATTTAGCTTACTAGGAAATCAGCTGCTAGGTACATCCGTACTGGAACATATACATTGTCAACAAATTAATCAATTAAGTCTGTAATAGGCCTGAAAGTTAACTTTTTTTGCCCATAGCCGTGGTGCTACAAAGGTTTAAAGTCTTGTAGCACAAGATGAAAACTTGTTACACAATAGATTAAATGTCTGTGATCATTCTGTTACGTTACTTATTTTTCTCTCTCTTAAAAAAGGTCTCTGTGATTGCGATGAGGTAAAATCATTTATAGCACAGACCGATTTTCTATGTCGTGCAACATACAGCCCTGTATGGTCAGAAAATATAAACTGTTTTAGCTTGTATTGGCTGATTAAATTCTTATGAGTATACTCAAGTGCCTGAGTTAATGGTTTTTTGTTTTGTCTACCTCTCTTGTTTCTTTGTCAGCAACAGTCGGGTCTTATAAGTCGAGTTACAGACACAGTTAAGAGCATCGTCCCCTCCTGGCTGCAGAAATACTTTAAGAATGAAGATAATCCTGAAGGAGCAGGTACTGGACAGGGGACAGATCAGAACTGTGAGCTGCCACCACCTCCTCCAAATGGGAGTGAAGAGGGACCTCTTCCCCTTGATGGACGGGACTCCCCAGAGCCAAGCACCAGTAACACAGGTGAGGGTCCCACTAAGTCCCAATAATAAAAATTAAGGAATTTTGGAATTAATTTTGGATTAGAACTGAACAATTTCCTCTGCACCACTTTTCTTACCTTGCTTCTTTTTCTCTTGCACAGAGCCCTCAACGAGCCGAGCCTCTTTAAATTTTCAGGAATATGTACTCTCTCGACCTCCTCTTAGTCGCTCCCATCTCCACTTTCCCCCGCTGGATGCCTCCTCACCAGTTCTAGGTGCTTCAAGCAGCCTCTTTCCTCAACCTTCCACCTCCTCAGCCCCTGGACCTTTTTCCACTGGCTTCTCCTTGGTCAAAGAAATCAAGGACAACCTCTCACAGCATGAAGATGATAACATCTCCACCACAAGCGGCTTCTCATCCCGCGCCTCTGACAAAGGTAAGGATTTTTTCTTTATTTGCATATTGAGATGTTTTTTTCTCCTGTGACATACCTGGATATATACAGAATGAGATGAAAGGTGCAACAGTTAAGATATAATAAAAAGACAAATCAGAGTGATGTTGTAAGAGATGGACAATTAACAGATGGCAGTAAACTTGATGAAATTAGATTTTTTTTTTGCGGAAAATTAGCTCACTTTGTAGTTGCATACGTAGATCTTACTTGAATGGGTTTCAAGTGACCAACCGAAGTTCTCAATCATTTATTTAAGAGTATGAAGCTAATTTGGCTTAAAAACATGATGTGTTAGTGGTGAAAGCATGGATATATCATTCAGCCCGAACAAGTATCTTAGACATTGCAGTCCATCCCTTTCTTGTATGTTAGTTATGTCCGCCACAATTGTTTCTCAATTTTAAATAAATTTCTTCTAACCCCCTTTTGCCCTTTTCTGGTGCCTCTTTGTTGGTTTCAAATGTGTGATCCTTTAAAAAAGGCAAAACCAACAAAATATCTTAAAGGATGTTTGTTCTGTAGTTGCAAATACAGAATAATCAAGCATACCTCTTGCAAAATAGTGATCTTGAAGAGGGTTTGAAGCTCAGTTTATTTATCAATAATTACATTTTATATCTGACAAATCCTTAATAAAACCCCACTTTAAAAACACTTATGTTGTTGAACCCCTTTTTATTATGAAAGAATTATCAGGAAATGTGATGTTTTCACTGTAAGCGTAACACATTCTGCAGGAGAGATACAAACCTCACAGATGCAGCTACATGTTGAGAACACAGAGTGACTTATAGAAACCTCATTCTCTGATCAAATGCACATTGCTTTAGTGGTGTCTTATTTCTGTCTCTTTTTACAGATGTCCCTACTTCTAAAACAGCATCACTTCCCCAACTTTGGTCCCCTGAGACAGACAGAACAAGCTCAGGGTCTCATCCTGCCCAGTCCAGTCTAAAGAGGCCTGCTTTTAACCTGTCTGTATTTGGAACTTCTTCAAATGTGAGTATAATTGTGTCTATCCATCAATACACAGATTAAGAGCAAATCTCATCGCCCTACCTTTTGGTGAGCTAATAGTACTGTGCCTTTAGATAAGTGACCCACTTAGATTTAAAACATCTCTCTTGAACTTGTTTTTGGGGATGCATGTAGGCCACAGCCTTTTCACATTTTGTTCTTATCAGTTCTTCATAGCTCTAGCCAATCTTAGTACCTCAAGTTTTTACTCAAAAATGTTTTTTTTCTCCTTGACAAACTATCAGGAAAATCAAAGTTACTGTCAGTCTCCTCACTAATTAGAAGTAAAATGGTGTGATAATGCTAAGCCCCAGTTTGATTTGAACCTCTCTCTTCCAGTCAACATTCAACAGTACAGTGCTAAACTCCAGCCATCTTGGAGATTCACCCTTCTACCCTGGGAAGACAACGTACGGTGGGGCAGCGGCAGTCAGGAGCTCTCGCACGCGTCCAGGGACACCTTACCAGGTGAGCTATTGAGAGCCATATAGACTAGAGAACTATGTTTACATTTTGATTAATACGTTGTTAAGGTAGCACACATCAAAACAAGTTTGATTCACGTTTCTGCACTTTAAGTCTTCTGGCTGGTTTGGGGAGGGGGGTGTTGCGACTGATAGTGCCTTATCAGTCGCAACATGATACAATGTGTGCCCCACACACACACACACAGTGGCTCAGGCTCAGGGCTTAGTGCGAGTGAGGAGAGAGAGTACGAGGTGAGTGTGTGTGTTCGGCAGGTGTGTGCGAGAGGCACATTATGATGCCGGGGACCGGAGCAGAATAAGCAGGAGAATGTATCAACTTGGAGAGGGAGGGGGGCACGGGAGTAAACTCGCCCACTCACTCCTGTTGCACCGTTATCAGCCGCAACATGATACAATGTTTGCCCCCCACACACAAATACACACACACACACACTTGAGTCCCCACAGTTCGCAGAGTCGGGTGAAGAGGCTTTTATAGGTTTGGTGACGTGGGGCTGTACTCCTACGTCGTACTGTACACTACACAGCCGTTACAATTTTTCAAACAGAAGGGCAGACACTATGCACATTTCTAACACAATATTTCAAATTTCAATACTTTGTACTCAAATGTCGAGATTGGGACTTGATTGATCCATAACACTACTTAATACTCAAATACAGAGGTTTAGAGTTGAAAAAAGTGGTTTTAGGGTTTAGTTACTCTTTAAGAGTTTGTCATTTCCACCTGTCTCTGTGATGAGTTCCTCCTCTGGCAACTGTGTGGAAGTAAATAGCTATATTGTTCCCTGTTTTATCTGAGCTTTATCATTTAGCAGAATTTAGTAGTTTTGCACTCACTCACTCACTGACGGCGGGGAATTTACTAATGTTATGGAGAATAAGTTACAGTGGTGCATCACAGTTGATTGTGGATCTGATGGGATCACATTCCACAGATTGGGCCGCGGATGTGATCCACAGATTGATTGAAAATGTATCAACATGGTGTGAAAGAAATGTTCTGCTGCTGCATCTTTGTGCAGAATCTCAGTGATAACAAGGCAGCGTTTAAGTAGTGTGTGTCTGCACCATGAAGATGAGCTGTACAAATTGGAAGAATATTCAGTCTTTTAGAATATATTTTTAAGGAGTTTATTTGTGGACTTTTTCAATGCACAGTTTGACTCATGGCTAGCTGAGGAGTAGAAGAGTGAAGTTAAATGTATATTCTTCTTTTTTCTTTAGGCTGATCTAAAAAAAAAAAAAAAATCTGTGAATTGTGAGATTTGTGATCCATTGCACCTCGACTAACTTAGCTCACTTTGTCTTTAGGCCCCTGTGAGAAGAATGATCAAGGCAAAGCCTGCTGGTGCTCAGCCTTGTGGGGTGACCAGTGCCACTGCCAGACGCATCCTGCAGTCCTTGGAACGCATGTCGAGCCCACTGGCTGTGAGTAAACACACACACACACACACACACACACACACACACACACACACACACACACACACACACACACACACACACACACACACACACACACACACTCTTTTTTTTACAGATGCATTTATTGTCAAAGTGTGGCAGTGGTCAGACATTACATTTTTTGCTAATAACATGATAATATAAACTTTCTCTCATAATAAGTTGTCAACAATGTCCCTGTTTGATCATCATAATTATCTTTTTTTTTTCTTTTCTTTTTTTTAAACATGTTTTTCCTCCCACAGGATGCCAGGAGAATTCCAGCCGCTGCCTCATCCCCGCTTTCAGCAGTAAGATTAATTTATCTAATTAAAAACATTGTATTCATTTTATGGCGGTGGCATATTTACGAATGAGAAAAACACTTAAAGTAAAGCATTTGAAACCTCATTGAGGAGTTTGACAGTATTGGTTTTTTTTTTTTCTTTTGCAGTCAATGGATGGCACAAATCTTGATGCGTCACTTTTCCAGTCCAAAAAGAAACGGGTAAGATATTTTGAAAAGATTGTGACAATCTCTTATGTAATAAACATTTAGATTTTGTTTCTACAGTTAGTCTAGGGTTTTAATTTTGTTATAAAGAACCACGTGTCCCTGAATGACCCAAATCTTGTGTTTGCACATCGGCCAAACAACTTCACTTGTGTCTTCTGTCCAGTGTTCTTTAAGCACAGACGCCTTTGCGATAGGAACAGGGACATCTTTCTACAAACCCAACACTTGTGTGGGTTTGTCCTCCTGTCATTTTCTGTCTCACTTTCTCTTGACCTTCTTGCACCTGTTAACACAATTCTCTTCGGCTGGGGCACAACTGTTCCTCCACTGTATGCCATGTACTTGTGAGCAAGCTTGGCTAGAGATGTATAGTGTGTGTGTGAAGATTAGGGCATTGTGAAATTGTGCCAGCTCTGGACTGGACTTGACCTCGGTAATGACTGTGAGGCCTTTCCAACTGTGGCAGCTGCCATGTAACCCTAACAATGGTTTATTGACGTGTTCAGGTCCAAAACAGGAAAGCCCACTATCTGGTGGCTGGCTGGTATTGATATTTGAATTGACTATGTGTTGGCTGATGGTTGTTAATCTCACAAACAAAAATCCTGATTTAGGCCCATCAAAATTGTGTGTTTAAATAGTTCCATGTAGACCTGTCAAAGAGGAAGCAATTTTATTATTTTATTTTTCAATAAATGTTGACCCTGTTAGGGCCTTGAGGAAAACACTGATATACATTTTCTTTTGGAAATAGTGTAGTGTAAAACTTTAATGCAATGTTATAGCTTATTTGTCTTTATCAGGGTCTGTACACTCATTTAGTTCAGCATCGTGGAGACTAAAACTATATCAAACGAGCCAAGACAAAGAATTTAGCACAGCCACCTTCATTCATTTTGATTCTTAACTTGTGTCCATGTTTTGCTCCTCTCTCTACATCTTAGATGGATTCCTCCCTCCCACCGGTGCAGAAACTGATGGTCCCTGCTGCAGCATCGGTGTCAGGAAACCGCTCTGTGTCATTTAGGCCGACTTTGACTCCGGGAGGATTGAACAGAGGTGTGGAAAGAATCCCAAGAGAAACGGTTAGAAAATCTGTTCTGCATATTTACACACCATGGCATTGTTTTGTCTCATGTCAAAGACAGTTTAATATAAACGTTACACGCTGTTTTGTTCACTTAGCCAACAAGACAATCACCACAGCTACCTGAGTCAACCCCAGGACCATCTCAAAGGTAAAACAGTTTTATTTAATTTGTGTCTACTTTTTACTGTGTAGAATAGTTTCCAGTTTGGGAATACATTTTTCTAAAATATGCTAACTATGTTTTTCCCAAATAACAAAGCGAGGCATTAAAACCAAATCAAAACATTCTTTGATAACATCAAGCTTTTTTGTTGTTCTTGTTTGGATGCTTGACTTCTATCAGTAAATACCTTGTGTCATGCACTCACCTTTTTCTGTCTGCACTTTTACCTCCAGCACAATAGGTTACAGTGTGCCAGCCTATCCCCTGTCCAGCACCCCGGCAGCCTCTAGTGCAAGTTCTGGAGGGGGCAAGATAAAGAGGGAGAGGACTTCAACACGTCCTTCCTCTAAACGCCCTGAAGATGACGAGGTAAGGGATAGTACTTTATTTTTGTTCATTATTTCTTTAAGGTTGATGTTGTTGTTTTCCAGGATTTATTCCATTGAAGAAACAGATGTACCACTTTTTATAAGTCATGTTAATCCTACTCTCAGATTTGGCTGAGATAACAGTTATAAATCCTGTCCAAAATCACGCCTGCATTTTGAAATCATTGAGGGATTTATCTTGTATCACCATACGGTGGAAATATAAACTAGTATAAAGAGAAGCATTTAATGTATTTTATTTAAAAGTATGGAATGTGTTCTAACTTGAATTTAGGCTCCCAAAGATACTCAAGCTGTTTTTTTTCTTTAAGGTTGCTGAGGTACCAGACCTTCCATCAATTTCACTTCCCATCAGCATTTCCGCCTTGCCCACCTTTAGCTTTACCTCCCCTCTTCCACCTTCCACCACATCCACTACCATCAGCATTGCCCCCAATGTCACACCTGTAACTCCCACTAAGGAAACAAATAAGGTTAGTTCCAAAATGTAATTAAAAAAAAGATACAATTTCTAAAATAATGGTTGAGGAAATTCCTGAAGCATTTTACTGATTGTCCTGTCCTCCCAGGAGCCACAGATGGCCTCGACTCCTCCATGTGTACCTTTCACATTTTCCTCCCCTATTGTCAAAGCAACTGCTGCTAGTCCTCCATCCTTTTCCCCCTCCGTAAGTAAAAGTCTTCTCTAAAAAAATGTTTCTAATGGTTTAATATCAAACTTTTTAAAACCAGTAAGCTAATCTTAATTATATGCTTCTTCTGTTTGTAGGCTGGATTCACTTTTAGTGCACCTGTAGCAAAGTTAGGTCCCTCCATGTCAAATGGGAATCTGTCCACTCCTATAGCAGCAGCAGGTAAGAGTTATCTAACAGTTGCCATGATGCTTTTCGTTTGCCACCCTGAAGAAAAGCAGAACTAAAGTTTGATCATTTACGTTTCATGTTTTGACAGCAAAGCAAGCAATTAGTAAAAGCACAGAAGACTTTGAAGGACCCTTCAAACCAGCCAAGACCCTGAAGCAGGGCAGTGTGCTGGATCTTCTGAAAGCGCCTGGTTAGTGTTGTTGACTCATTACTGCAGTTTTTGTTTTACATTGTCATGTTTACAAGGTTTTTAACGGCTTGAATCCTTTTATTTACTCTGTCAAGGCTTTGCCTCTCCCATTTCTCGGACTTCCCCAAACCCAGACGATGCCCTGCAGCAGTCCTCCACACTGTCGACTGCCTCCTCCCTCACATCAACCACCACGACCACCTCCTCCCTTCCTCCTTCTACAGGGTTAGGGGATTTATTCAAAACCCCGCCAGGCTGGAGCTGTGATGTCTGCTTGGTGCAGAACAAACTCTCAGACACAAAGTGTGTTTGCTGTGCGGCCCCACAGCCCATTTCCTCTTCTTCCAAATCTATGGACTCTAAACCGTCAACTGCCACTTCAGTAGAGCTGGAGAGCAGCAGCGTGAACACGACCTCCACCACTACAACCACCACAGGTTTTGGCACGATGTTTTCCAAACCTGCAGGAACTTGGGACTGTGATACATGTCTTGTAATGAACAAACCTGATGCAGTGAAGTGTGTGGCCTGTGAAACGGCCAAACCTGGGACAGGCCTCAAACCTTCACTGACTCTTCCTTCTGCCTTCTCAGCTGTTAAGACTGCATCCACCCCCACAGCCTCTGTTTCTACAGGGTTTATTGGATTTGGAGACAAGTTCAAAAAACCAGAGGGTGCGTGGGATTGTGAGACATGTTGTGTACAAAACAAAGCAGAGGACACCAAGTGTGTGGCTTGTGCAGGTGCTAAACCAGGTAAAGATATCAATACCATAATTGTTTTTTAAACTCTCAACACACAAAAAAACAATTCCTGGTTTGTTTGTTTTTCAAATGAGTCCATTAAATGTCTCATTGACTGAACAGCTATGACAGATTTAAGTTTAATAATGCGTTTTCTTTTCTCACCCACACAACTGGGGTATCCACAGGATCTTCAGCAGGAGCCTCTTCCTCAGCGAGCAGTGCTCCAGTGTTTGGGCTTGGAGATGCATTCAAGAAGCCAGAGGGCGCCTGGGATTGTGATGTTTGTCTTGTACAGAATAAGGCTGCTGATGTGCAGTGTGTTGCCTGTCAGACAGCCAAACCTGGAGCCCAAGTGGAGCCCAAAGGTAACAAAAACAAGCTACTTTAGGTTTTTTGCAACAGAAAGTGAGAAATAAATCACCTTAAAGGCTAAGTGTTATTTAAACTTTGTAAAACAATTAGAATCCCCTCTTAGCAATGATGCAACAAGTGTCTGGGGGTTAATTGATGTATTCAGTTTATAATTAAGATATTCTATCGTTTTTGGGTGGATAGAATATGAATTTCTCTTAGATGGCATGCTGTTAAATCTTTTGGTCAGCATTAAATAAAATAATGAAAATATGCATATCAAAGTCATTCAAAACATTAGGGTTTGGCTTAAAAGGGAAAAAAATCATCTAATCTACACTTTTCACTGTTTTATGTATTAATTTATTTTGTTATCTTTTGATTCTTTTTAGCTTTTGGTTCAGCCTTTGGCTCATCGAATTCTGGAGGTATTAAGTTTGGCACATCAGACAATACCTCTGGATCCGGATCTGGAGGTTTTAAATTTGGAGGCTCGTTTTCCGATTCCTCTTCATCCTCAGGTGGATTCAAATTTGGAAGCTCCACATCAGAAACCACTTCAAAAGACACTACTGCTACATCAGGGTTCAAATTTGGCACCTCATCTGAGGACTTTAAATTTGGAGCAGCTTCCAGTGATGACACTAAATCAAACCCTGAACCTGCGGCAAGCTGGTCTAAGTTTGGAACCAGCGGTGGGATAGTGTTTGGAACTGGATCATCTAACACAGAGAGTAACTCCTCCAAGGGTGGCTTCTCTTTTGGGCAGCCAAAACCTGAAGAGAAAACATCTGAAACTGCCACTTCATCCTCTGTTAGTTTCACTCCTCCTGTTTCCTCTCAAGAAAAGAGTGAAAGTGTGGCATCATCAAACATTACACCAACAGACACCAATTCATCCACATCCACAACTAAAACCACTGGCTCCGTCTTTGGGAGATTAGGTGTGCCCACTTTGGCGACCACCACTTCTACCACCACACCACAAGGGGTCTCTACGTATGGTTCATTGCAGCCAGACAAACAGCAAGCTGCCCCAACATTTAATTTTGGGAAGCAAGAGGAAAAGAAGGAAGTTGTTGCCTCGGTTCCCTCTGGCTTCACCTTCGGTGCTGCCAGTAAAGATGAAGACGCTGCTCCAGCCACGGCCTCTACAGGAGGCTTTTCCTTCAGCAAGCCTAGTGCACTTACACAACAGCCTCCTCCTGCATATACTTTTGGAAAGCCGGCAGACAAGAGTGAAACTTCTTCAGAAGCCCCTAATCCCTCGTTTGGCTTTGGACAAAGTGCTACTGGTGAGAGAACATTTTGACACTTACTTTGCTTGCCAACTGCACACGACCAATTAATCTGTTTCAGCAATAAGGCAACTTGTAGTGCACTAAGCATTAATGATTATAAAATGTGTCCTCATAAGCTTGGTCCAGCCCACCTATGGCAAGCAGTTTTAACATTGAAATGAAGCAAACCCAACAATTCACTTATTTTAGATACCCTCAACAGCATTTAATTACATTTGTTCACACATTCTTACAAGCAGAACTTGTATTTCAAGACATATAAAACTTTATTTCTCTTTATTTCCCGATGTCCACAATAACAGGTTAAAGTTCAACCAATTGTGCAGACACCAAAAACTTGAGAGGAAGAAATTGACAGTTTGAAACCTTTTCTACAACAATTCAAGGATAACGCCCCTATTCTTGATTTATTTTTGGGAAAGTAATCAAAACTGAAGGAGCAGATGCCGATTCTGTTTTATCTTGATGCTACAAAATGATTTGATCACACTAATGATTTATTAAAACTCAGTAGCTTCTTGCGGTATCACCTAACAGATCATGGCCCTTGTACTTCAGACTCCACAGTACTAGTTTACAATTTAAATTATTCAAATATTTACTTCTATATACCGTATCCTTTTATACAATAAATATGTTTTTATTCCTGACTGCTCATTTATTTTCTGTACTATAGGCAACATCATTAACATTTTTGTCTCCTCACAGATTCTTCTGCTGCTCCAAAACCAGCGTTTCCTTTTATGGCTAATAATCCAACCAACAGCACGGACTCCACCACCCTGTCCTCCTCCAGCCCAACACAGAGTTTGTTCAGCAGTGCCACCACCACCACCAGCAGCAGCAGCTCCACTCAGGCTCCAGCTCCCTCTGCTGCTCCCAGCACTTTCATGTTTGGTCAGTCTGCTGTGACCTCCACAGATGGTCCTCCTGCTAAAGCATCCTTCGTCTTTGGCCAGAGTCAGGACAGCCAACCGCCAGCCCCATCAGCTGCTCCAGTGACGTCTACTCCAGCCCCTGCCCCGGCTCAGCCCTTCATATTTGGTGCTCCTCCTGCTGCTGCTCCATCCTTCGGTTTTGGAGCACCAGTGCCCTCTGCTGATTCATCTTCAGGTCTGTATTTGGTGGTGGTGGTTGTTTCATATAATAAGCATGTGTATTATGCTTTCTTTTGGGAATGAGTGACATTTTGTTTTATTCACTCTTTTAAAATTCTCTATTCATTTTGTGATCCTCTCTGTTTCACTTACAGCTCCATCAGCAGCTTCCTCCCCTTTTGTATTCAGCTCAGCCCCCTCTGCTGGATTTGGGGCCAACCAGACCCCTTCATTCGGCTCATCATTCGGATCCCCTTTCACAGCCACACCTGGCCAGACCCTTGGCTTTGCAGCCAAACCCAACTCTGGCCCCGTCTTTGGACTGCATTCCAATTCCACACCTGTATTTGGAGTAACTACAAATTCTGCACCAGGTAAGTGGCTGGAACAGTTTAGTTTAATTTTTGTTTCATCTTGCTTATGATACTGAGTTTTATTTTCATGAGCAGATGGAGGTTGAGTTAAAACAAACAAATGTGCATATTCTTATTAGGTGGAGGCTTTCAGTTTGGAGCAGCTAGCGCATTCGGATCCACAAATGCCGCCGCAGGTGTGTTTACTTTTGGAGGGTCAGCAGCCTCTCCTGGCCCAGCTGCCAACCCATCCATCGCACCCCAGGCAGGAGCAACCGGAGGTGGATTCAACTTTGCACAACCGCCCGCGTTCAATATGGGGTATGTTGCATCTTCTAAGCAAATGCACAAGGTGGTGTATTCTCAACATGTGCATGGCAAAACATTTATGTGTTCAGTGTCTTCAAACTGAGCGAAAAATCTAAATACACTGTTAAATACCAAACACTGATATTGGACATACACAACAACAAATTAACATTTTCATACAGTAAATTCTAAGAATATTAACCTTGACTTGTCCTGCTTTAGTTTTGTGGTTCACTCTGTTTGACTGACAGTTGTGTTTTACTTTTGGTTGTTTTTATCTTCCAGGGCAACAAAAGCCTTTCCAGCCTCTCCTGCTGGACAGCAAGCGATTGCCGGGCGCAAGATCAAGACAGCTGTGCGGCGCAGGAAGTAGAGGCCTATGGACCCGACTTTAAAGTAGACTTGACTTTGACTGACTTGTTTCCCCCACTGAAGGCTGACTGATGTCCCAAAAGGTCTGCACTTGACAACTGGACACTGAAATGACGAGGAATATGTGAAGAAGGGCCAAGGCTTGGGGCCACTGAGGTCTGGCTGGACTCGGGGGTGGGGGGGTGGGAGAGTTTGGGCTGATTATTCAGAGGTTTTCACATGTAGACTGCAGCTGTGTGAGACCACCCCACAGGACTTCCCCTGAAAAAAAAACTGTCGACTAAATAAAGACACTGACTAACAAAACAACAATCAAGCAAGGACCCCTGCTGATTAACAGGCAAGACAGTCATATCTATATTTTCAACTACGGCAAATGTCTGCTAGACTGAGGCATGACTTTTTGTAATAAAATTACAAAGGCAAAAACTGCAAATCTAAAGAGTTGTGCGTGTACACAAAATCGTATTAATTAGTATGGGTGATCAGGTTATGTGCTGTGTTATGCAGAGAGGTAGTGAGAGCTGTGCGGCTCATCTCCAGCGGTTACTCTGAAACGTTTTAGACGTCTCCTCTTAAAGGATTCAAGAAGCCGCTGGAGAAGCAGCCATGGTGTCAGTGCAGTGTGCTGTATGTACAGGAATGAGCGTGTAATCTTTGTGATGAATGCTGCGTGCTTGTTTTTTTTTTTCCCTCATTATGTACAGACTTGAGGTGTGTTTGGTTTCTTTGTACATATTGAGGTTGTGTGTAGGTGTGCGTATGTAAACAGTTATCACCTGGGCTGCTAGCAAGCGCAACTGCAGGTGAGCAAGCAAATGAATGTTCAAAACAAAAACAAGGGGAGGATGGAAGGAAGGAAGGCAGGGTTAGGAGAAGAGGAAACGTATCCATGCACTGTGGAGGATGGACCGGGCCGGAGGCTTACGCCATCATTTAACTCCTTTAGGACTTTGTAAATGAATATTTTCAAAACCTCTGTTTCATGTTTGATTCTTTGACCTCTCTGGTTCGCTCTACTGCTTTGCTTTTTGTGCCCTCCTGTCTCCTTCTCTCTCTTTCGCTCTTCCTGAGCCCTTAGGCTTTCTCCTTATATCTCTCTGCCTCTCTCTCTCTCTCTCTCTCTCTCTCTCTCTATCTCTTAATTGGCCTTTGAATATTATTATAAAAACCTGTAAATAGTGATGTTTTCATTTTTTAATCTGTGAAGTTTTTGTGTTACCAACTCCGCATTCAGCATTTTTGTCTTTAGAATTTATTATGTAAATTCCTATATTCAAAGTTGCCCGAATCCATTTAAAAGGAGCTTAAATGCAAATTGGAGAGCCTTTAATAACTAAAGGTATATTGGCTTTTCTGATCCACTTTTGTTTGGACCAAAACCAGTATTGTACAAAGTATTAAGTATATATTTTTCTATTGCGTGTTTAAATGGACGAGGGTGACTTTGGATGTTAAGGAAGTCAGTTTAATTTTAAAGCCATGATTATTACTGGATGAGTGATAAAATTAAAACCATGGGTAATTACATCAATAAAACTATATAAAAATATGTCTGTTGTTGATGTTTTCATTCAGAATGTAATGTGAAAGTAATCAAAAAATGAACAGGATGTCTTGTGCTAAACTTAATAGGTATCTGTTGGAACATAATAAAGGTTTTGTTGTTTCCTTATCTAGGAATTTAAGATTTGCAATAAAAAAAAAAAACATAATTTCTGAAGTTATTTCAATCTATACATCAAGCGTGGAGTAGCAGAGAGAATAACTCCCATAATGCCCCGCCAGCCTCGACGTCATCCTTTGTTAATGTTGTGATGTATGGTTGTGATTGAGAGCCCCCTGGCGGCGGGTTTTACATATTGTGCGTTTAAAAGCTACAATGTGTTTTTCTGTGATCAGATCAGTGGTAACCTGCAGGCTGCAGCTTGTTTAGTTTATTTACTGTGTACACTCATTAACGTCGGACTGATGCTTTCATCAGTGTTTTTTTATCGTAGGTTTATATATATATATATATATATATATATATATATATAGTCTTCCCAGACACTCTTTCTCTTATGTTTTTTTCTTGTATGTGGTTCATTTCGAAGCATTATTTGAAAGATTTTGCCGATTACATGCAGATAAATGGCTGACGATCTTTTCTGATAACATGCCTTCATTGTATATCATTAGTCGATTTCTACCTCTCAAACCTAAAAAAAAGTATTGAAAAACAAACATGGATAATGATATCTTGTTGACATTTGGTTGTAGTAGATACGAAAAGCTTGTATTTATATGAAAACAAATGTAATCCCACGGAGAATGTTTGAGTGTTCCGTTTGAATATACACTCCCTTACCGACTGAAAACTTAAGAGAAAAACAAAAATGTCGTAAGTAAAAGGTTTAACATGCTGTCTTAATATCATGTTGTCTTTTACAAAAACATATCTCCTCAGAATTGAATGGTTGAAGACTGAATATATTGACAACACTAAATAGAGGTATGTTTAATTACTCCTTTTGTTTTTTGCTTTTAGGCAACGTCGTGCGCCTAAAGAGGACCATCTGAAGGTCTCTCTGCCCATGATATCCTCCAACAAATCCCTGTCGACCAGCAGGCCGCAGCTTCAGACTTTCCAGGTCCAGAATCGGGATGATGATATCGTCTGCTCCTTGCAAGAAGAAGTATCTCGGGTAATGAACAGTTCACCCTACCTCCAATACATCTGAATGTTAATTTGCTGAAATGATGTTGCTGCGCTAAGTCTTTTTCAAACTAAGTAGTCTGATAAATGAATTTGATTTAAATATATTTGCATTTTTCTTGTGTGTCAAGTGTTTATCAAGATGTATTTTGTTATCAGGGGCTGTGTCTATTGAAAGATTCAGCCCCTGAGTTGGGACACAGAGCGTGAGCCTGTCCTGCGTAAGAGGAAATGATGGCTGCAGAGAGTTGGTGGCAGGGGTGGGAATACGTTTTACCCAATCTAAATTAAATACCAAGAGCATTTCCAGTTAGCTGTAGCTAATGTTTAACAAGGAAAGCACAGTTAAATGTGAAAACCCTGAGTGAAAAGCTTCAGTTACATTCACTGTACTTCATCACAGTTTATATTACACATGCATTACAGTTACAGATATCCACAATTTACTTGGAAGGAGTTGTTTTTCTTTGAGATATTTGTTGGGGCAACTTTTGCCTTTATTGGGTAGGAAAGTGAAGAGTGATAGTAAATGTTGAGAGAAGAGTGGAGAATGACACAAATGTTGCAGGTTGGACTCCAACCCTGGACGGTGCACTCGGCTAAACCAATTTTTCAGATGTCTGGCAAAATGTCATTGTAGACATCTTAAATGCTCATTTTGACTAGGAGGAATTTAGTTACATTTTCATGTTATCAAGTGCTTCGACATTCCTTTACATCCTTAGATTTTACTTTCTTTTGTAGATCCCCTCTGCTGCTCATAGCACAATGAAGCACCTCAGCTGTCGGCAAACAGAGATCAGCGGTTGGCAGGTGCAGATATCTGAGAGCATCAGCCGTGCGGACCAGGAAATCTTTGCTTTGGAGATGGTACGGTACCTTTTAACACCTTAAAAGTGACTTTTTGTGCACAAAGAATGAGGACAACTCTGGTCAACAGAGCAGCTGGAGACTGAAGGAGACTCACTCACAACAGATCAAAGCAGCTAACTTCTCTTTTGGTTAAAAATATCTTCAACTCTGCTCTCGTGTGTTCTTGTGTTCAGATGAGAGGCTCTGCTGAGGGCTCCCTCCAGGAGAAGCAGCAGTACAGTCAGCTCCTGAGCAACTGTGTTCCACTTGCTAACATTATTTGTGCAGCAGAAATGAAACACAGCCGCATCCTGAATGAGCTGAAAAAAGAAGAAAAACTGACCAATGAGATAAGTGACATGCTCCAAAAGCAGATCTGTGTTCTGCTTGAAAGATTAAGGTAACACTGACCAGATTCATAGTAACCCCTTGTTATTCAAAGTTCTTATATATACCTCAAACTAATTTCTCTCAGTAAGTAGTTCCTGAGCTCTATACCGGCATGATGTTGGTTGGCAGATAATATAAAATCCTTTATACCGATCTTATTTTTAAACTGAAAAATAATATTTTTGGAACACACTTGATTCAATTCAAAATGCTCTATCGGCATAAATCTAATTGGGACAATATTTCAAAATCATCATGTGAAAATCAGATTCAAATAAGTTAAATGATGTAAATATTGATAAACTCTATCAATATTGATCTTAATTCTTACCCCCCCCCAGCTCTCTGAAGGACATCCGCACTCAACTGCTGGCAGATTTTCATGACAAAAGTGAAGCCGCCCAGCTCACCACCAAATGCATCCTGTATGACCAAAACACCCAGTGCTCCCGTCTTCATATCGACCAATACAAGCCAGTCCATGTGAAACATGACATGTGGCTGTCTCACTGCAAAAACCTGAAGCTGATAGCTGACAACTTCATCAAAGTCTGCTGTACCTTCAGAGGAAACCTGCGCTACTCTCTGGCTAATGTAAGAACACAAAGACCATGCTGAAAAACTCTGAATGTAGGGCCATACAGTAATAGTGCGTAAAGTATTTTTTTCCCATCTGATTTCATCTCAGATGTTCAGCCTTAGGGCACTAAAGAGAGGATCTTCTGATTCTTTATATTCTGATTCATATTTTCAACCCTTACATTTCTAGTTACATCCTCATCTTCGTACAGTCAAATCAACTTGGAAAACTGAACTGAGTTTAAGTACATTTTAATGCATGATTGTCTCTCAAACATTTTACAATACTTGTCTCTTCCAGCAAAAAATTAACCTGGACCACCTGCGCTGCTGCACAGGAGATACCCTGAGAAAAGAGATTCATGAACTTATTAAAATCCAGGACACCATGACGTGGGACAGGCAAAGTGTCAGTTGACTGGATCAATTTTGAAATTTACAACCATCTATTTATCACCCAGAAAACCTTTGGACTTGACTTTTTGGGAGGTTAACTTGTTTTCTTGTTGCTTCTTTCTTATTTCCAGATTTGTGATGATATTTCTGATCTGACAAAGGACATACAGAGATTGACGGTCCAAATCAAGAACTGTGATCAGAAGCTGCATCAGGCCACACACCGCCTGGAAATCCTCAATCAGAGACCCAGACTGGAGCTCTGCCTGGACCAAGTGAGAGTCTAATCATGCAGAAGCAATTTGAATAAGTCATGTTTGAGTCACAACATTTTTGCAAGGCATTTACATTTTTTGTAATTATCTTGTAATATTTTTTACTAATATATATTAAAAAAAACATTTATAGACTAACTGACTTATTCAAGGTTCATATTTCTTCATAAACAAATCAAATCAAATGGATGTCATGAAATAAATAAGGTTTTCATTCAGAATTGGTATAGTTTAGGTAAACATTTGGCGATTAATAATTTCATCTTCCTTCTCCTCCAGCCTCACTTCTGCCTCACTCTGGAGAAACAAGACCTCTCAAAGATAACTGATGGACTATACCCATTACTGAAACAATCTCAGTAAGTCTCAACTTAACCTCTCTAATGTGGTCAAGCAGCTTATCATTTAAACTTCTGTCAGTTTCTAAACAAACTCCATATTTATGTAAATTGTATCTTTAGACAGGACCTTGAGTCCACACGCAGGCGTCTGATGATTCTGGACGACAAACTGGCCAAAAACACCAAACTCCTAGAGGTGGAGCAGAAACTCCAGAGCCTGCACAAGAGTTTCTATCCTGGGTCCTCAGCACCAAGCCAAGGCTCTGCAGGCCACGTCTTGCTCTAACGCTTCCCCACAGCAGAGCCCTGTAGAGAGCATTCATGCTCCTGAAACCATAGTCCTTCCACGAAATGTCGCAATTAAAACAACACTTCAAAAAATGACTTTAATCTGCTTGTGTAGTACTAGTATGCAGCTGGTTTGAGTTCTGACCAAGAAATGAAGAGATCTTTTGGCGCCCCCTGTGGACAAAATAGTACATCCTTTCTCTTTGCGTATCTTGTTCTTGTTGTGTAGTCTTCACAGTTTACGCTGATGGACTGGTTATCTTTTGTAAGTCATAAAAAGGCATCAGTATTGATTATAGTCTGTTTCATAAGCAGCTACAAAATCCCAACAGCAGCTTTAAAAAAAGGGAAATAATCATTTTAACCAGCTGACATCATCAACTTGGATCCTTTCCTTTTTACATCCCTGGACAGATTTCTGTATTTTGAGACTTATATGAACAGCCAAATTGCCTAAATGAATGATAGTCAATGTTTTACAAGTTAATTTTTTTAAATGTTGCAGCGCAAGATGCTTAAAACACTAACCATGGTGTGAAATTAAAACCTGAAAATGAAGAGTAAACTTGGATGATAAATATAAGACATGCCTCGTAAGCTGGGTGGTTGTCAGTTTTTTTTTTTTTTTTGGTGAGCTGATAAGGTCATGGGACAATCATTAACAAGAAATCTGCTTAAGGGAATCAGGGCAGCAATAGAAGTGTGAAGACAGGTTTTGCTGTGTCCTGACTCTGACACCCTCCTCAGCTTGTCCCTGCGTGTCACCTCTTTAACCAGGTCAGATTTATTGTAGCAACGGTCCCTTAGCAACGCACCGGGTCCATGGAGACTGTGTGTGTGTGAAGGAATGCGAGGGTTCCTGTGTCAAATATAACAAGGAAAAACACGAGACGTACCCTTATTAAACCTTGTGACATTTATGACTTTCATGGTCATATTCCTTATTGTTGCTTTGAGGTGAATATGGGATGCGGCAACTCCTCAAACACTGCGGTCCTCCCGCTGACACCGGAAGAGGTGAAGAGAGACAAGGTAAGCTCTGTGTCACTGAACCTGCCTCTCAGCTAGATAAAACTGTGGTGGTTAGTTTAAAACAGGTAGGCTCTATGTCGTAAACAGATATGCCTGAGACATTTAATTCAGTCAGAAAAAAAAATATTCAGAAAAGTTTTAAACCAGATATTAAAGTTTGATGATAGGCCGTTATAACATGTGCCGAAATCTGTGTGTCATTCATTTTAGTGACAGAGAAAAGACCAAATATGAACTCTAATGTAGGCTTACCACCGATTTGTTCAATGTTACTGAGCATTTAGGTGTTAGTAATATGTTTATAAAGTAGCTTGAAAGGAGAAATATCAGAATGTAACAATGCTTTTTTGGGTAACACTTTATAATTAACATAATAGGGTACATTGACAGTTAATTAACTTTAGTTATTAGTTATTTTACTGTTAACAAACAATGAAATAATAGTTAATAATGTTTGCTAATGATTTGTAGTGCTATAATTTATGTTATGTTAACAGTTTATTGTTGCGCACATTATAACATTTTATACTATAAAAAGGGTTTGTAAATGATTACCAAATGATTTGTAAACCGTAGTAGATCAGAACGGCATATGCTGCAGCACATGGCGGTCTGTTCCACTCAGGTGCCTGGCATATGCCACATATGAATGGCACATGCCTTTCTGGTCCACTCAGGTGCCGCCGCATATGCAGCATATGAGTTTCTATTATTGAATTGTTTGTTTAAAGTAAAATAACTATAACTACTATAACATGTAGGCTATATAAAGTTTCTGAGGTACATTTTCCATAGACACTATTAGATAGTAGTTCAAATTTTGTAATCACGATTTGAGTGGCTCAAGAAGAGAGAATAAGCTTGAAACATTTAATATTTACCTTCATTGATTATAGAAGGGGTGTGCGGCTTTATATGTACCCTGAAGACCTTTTAAATAATTCATATAATTACCAAAAAATATACTGTATTATTAAACAGTATATGATCCATCAAGATATTTTTGAAATGATCTAAATATCTGAATTGTTGAAATGCATCTTAACTCAAAACTGATTATGAACATTCATAATAAAGTAAATGTAGAATATAATGTCTGATAGGTGTCAAACTAGAATCTATTATTAACCTGGTTTCAGAGTTTTATAGGCTATTATCATGAATACTATGGGATTAGAGTTATTGATGAATTTGCAAGGCAGACCAAATGGAGTTATTATTATCCTCCTTGTGAATGGTTGGATAGTTTAATCTAAGTTGATGTCATACCAGAGAATATAAAATGAAAATATTTGAGTTATAATAATGTTTGAAAACACAAAATTATGACAATATTGATCAAATATTGTTGTATCTATTAATGTAATTCAAACTTTCTGTGTTTCAAAATCTGAGACAATGTGCTCTTTATTGTTTCTCCTGGTATGTTATACTTCCTCAACTACTGTGTTCATGACAATGTGTCAACAGATACCAACATGACAACAGCATGTCTGGGATACAAACAGGGGTCAGGATATTAAAGTGTGTGCTTTCATGTTGTGTGTCTTTACTGCCAGGATGAGACGGGAAGTAAACTCGATGGTCGTGGAGACTCAGCCGTGTCAAAAGGCACCACAGACAGCGGGGTAGTGATGGACAACAGAGAGATCCCTGACTTGCCTGGAGCAGCGCCCAGAAAACTCCCTCCTCTAATGTGTGTCAGAGAAAGTGAGAATGGCAGAATTACACAAGATGGTGTGTATGTGCACAAAACACGCTGGATAAAAACAACACAGTTAAGAAAATGTACAAATCCTTCATCATATCTGTTTGTCTCCCAGGCTTACTGCAGCAAGAGAGCACTGTGCAGCGCCAAAACTCCAGTGAGATCCTGGAGGAGCTGCTGCTTCAGGGCATCATACCGGATGGACCGAGCAGAGAAAGGAGCAGGGGGAAGGGGGAGTCATACAGCATCATGGTGGGTACCTGGTGCACACTGGTCACAGGGAAGGGAGACATGCTAACACACCACTAAACAATTTTACAAAATAAGTTATTGTGATGAAATTTGGATTTGGTAAACCTTTGTAGCTGAGTGGTTTAAAACAATTCTCTGCTGTTGGTTTCTTACTTCACTACCAATATGCTTGTGAAGTTCTTGGACATCTTTCTGCCCATACTGTTTCATGTTGGGAATGTAGTTTTCAGTGTGATTTTAGAGCCTTTTTATTAAAACCATTAAAAAACTATTACAGGTATAGCCTATAGGAGCAAGCAAAATAACAGATCTGGTTCACTCGTGCAACAAGTTGAGTCCTATAACAAGCAGTTGAAACTATGCTGCGAAGCCGTGGAGAGCTGTGGATTCTATTTGTTTTTCTCACTGGGTTTTATCACAATGACATTCAGTATCATTCTTCACAACATGTTTTTTTTTAACTTGACATAAAATTAATTAGACCTCTTTGAGTTAAATGTCCAAATTGATAATTTAATTGAACTAGAGCCTCAAAATCAGGGTGCCTTACTCTTATACCAAAATTGAACACAGCTATTTGGAATTTTTAATTGCTGCAACTATGCTTTTTCTGCAAAGACATGCCAAAATGTCTATCTTTTTCACTTGTTGCATTGAATGTGTGTTCTCTGTTTCCCCCTGCTGCATGTTTCAGCTTGTGGGCAAGGAGGCGATCAAGCAAAGACCTCCTGCCAGGCTGCAGTCCCTGAGTGTAAAGAAGGTGCAAAATATCCTCAGCAGAGAAGAAATCGAGGAAAAGATTAGACTCGCTGATGAGAGACGCAAGGTGAAAACTGGTTTTTATGTGTGTGAGGTTGTGTGTTTGTTGGATTATCCAATTATTTACTCTGCCACAAACTCCTCTCCTACTTTCATGTTCTTTCAGTTGAAGGAGGAGGAGCTCAAGACACGTTTGAGGTCCAAGTCTGCGCGTGTTCGTGGCCCTGCACATATCTCTAGCACAAACGAGGACATAGACCTCACTGAAGTGGAGACGCTACAGTCATCTCTGACCTCTGACGCCCTGAATCCACAGCCTCTCAGCCAGATCCCCCGACAGGCAGCTGAAGGGAGGGAGCGGGTGAGAGATGTTTTAGGGGATGGCAGGGAGAGTCAAGAAGATACCGGCAAAGCAAAGAGGAGAGAGGACGGAGAGGAAGGAGGAGGGAAAGGAGAGATCAGGGGTACAAAAGGACGACGTGAGACTGGCGATGGACAAGACGAGGAGGAGGAGGAGGAGTTGACACAGGTGGAGGTGCTCAAAGAGAATGAGCTCCTGTGGGCCTCAGGGGAGCTGGAGAGTGATTCTAGCTTTCAAAGGGCAGAGGAGGTGTTTTAATTTAGAGCCACGGATCAGCACTAAGAGAAAAAAGAACAGCCAAATCATTCCATTTGCACAGAAGAGATGCCTGTCAAAACTGTAAAAATATAAACACTATGCTTCATTTTTTAAATTAAACTATGATTGGCCCATTTTGTAGCTCAGCTGACCTTAAAGGTTTTCTGTCCTCATCATGATGTTTACCTCAATAAACGCTTAAATCAGCATTATCTAGACTTTAAATACTCGTTGCTATACAAAATGAATTCAGCTTATATGTTTGTTTCACTTTTAACTCTCACAGAGCCCAATGTTTTCATGTGAAGGGTGCACTTAAGGCAGTTATTCTTTTGGACATTAGATGGCGCTATTTCAGTGAATTTAAGTGCTAATGTAGTACCTTGAATTCAGTCATTAGAAGGAAACGTAAAGAAATGCTCAGTGTAAAGATGTGTCAATAAAGTTCACTTTTTGCAATGAGTCTGGATTTTTTATCAGAATCCAATCAATGTATGTATCAAACTATAGCTCATAAACAACAGTACATTCAAACTATCATTTTCCTGGTAAGTTCAGGGGTTTCGATGCAGCCTTAGTGTGACTGAGCTGTGGGTATTCAGCTGTTCCACTGAACTTAGACCTTTAGATTTAACAGGTGTTATAGCCAAACAAAAACAGAGTACCAGCTCCTCTCGCGGCAGCGGCAGCCTTTGTCTTTATTATTTGAGTAGGCATATAGCCTATAGCCTATATATTATTTTTTTTACGATGAAGATTTCAACATTTAACAGATTGTGCCAGGTTTTGAGGCAACCACCTTTCTGAAGTCCCACTTAACAAAAAAATCCCTCTTTTTGTGAATGTGTCTAACACATTCTCTTATTGTAGAGTTGGAGTAGCCTATATCTAGAGTTTAAAACATTACCGTATTTCTAATAATGTGGCAAAAGTCTTTCTTATGTATGCACAAAGGGATTCAGACAAGTCAGCATGTTGCGCATGAACAGAAAACAACAATTGAACGCAACCTGACCGGATGCCCGTTGTTAAGCTTAGAAACTCGATAGTGTCCCCCCCCTCCCCCCCTTTTTTTTCAGACTCCTCTCGGACTTTAAAGCGTGGCTGCATGAATAAAACAGTGATGAGCAGAGAGACGCTCCATCAGGTAGCGTTTCTTTGTTATCAAGAGAACTGCGGTCACAGTTCCGTTAGGATCGTAACATATCGATCACCGAACTGGAGGCTCTTGGTTGCACAAAAAAGGGTAATCTATGAGACTAGCACATAGCCTAACATAAATTGCAAAAGAATGGCCTATAAAGTTAAGTTGCCATTTTGGACCATGTGCACATGATTTCACTACGAAGGCACTAAACACATGTTTTTACAACACGGCCCAAAGTGAAGCTACCATTGAGACAGAAAGGTCCGGCCGGGTAGGCCAGGCCTAACTGAACAGCTACAGACAAAATGAATGATTAACAAATCCCTCCGGCTCACGTTACTGGATCTGAATGACTCTCTGGCTGTTCAAAATGACAAACATGCAGCTGTCAGTCAGCTGAGCGCAGAGCAGGCTGAGCTCCACTGGATACTTTAATAATTGATGTTCGGAGACTCTGGACTGGATTGAGCTCTGACTGTTGACTTTATCCTTTCTCATCATAACAGCTGTGTGTAATTTAAAGACGCGCAGTCACTTTTCGTCACTTTTAGGCCTATATTGCTTGAACATTGTACATTTGATCACCAACTTTATTAAAGATGACATTGACAGATGTTGATTCAGATTTAGATTCAGATAAAGGTCAGTTTGAAAACCCCTTGTTAATTGCTGTAAGGTTTGATTTTTCAAACTTGATTAGAGATGACCCATTGACTTCATAAAAAACATTAATACAAACATATGAGAAAAAAAAACAAAACAGTTCTTTTAATCTCCAGCTGCAGGTCTGATAGTGTAGACTCAGACTATCTTGCCAAAACTCTATCAACACCCCTGATCGGGCTGAAGCTGCACTTGTCCGCTCACCTTTGCTGCTGTTAACAGCTGTTTTTGCAGGAAGCCTTATTGGCCTATGTGGAAACATTAAAGACATCTCTCATGAAAGAGTACAAGCCCGACCGACAAGTTATTATTTCATTATCAAGAGACAATTGTTTATAAAGCTCGGAAATCACATCTTTCCGTTTGATTAAATCATTCATGCATCATTTTAAAGTTTCTGCTCCCTCAGAGGAATCAGCTTTAGTTGGCCCCGATGATCAATTGAACGTGATTCTAGTTTTTGTTTAAAACCCAACAGATCTATTTGGAAAAGGAGCTCCTGCGCTTCACACAGCGCGAAGCTTTCCCAGCTGTTAGTGCGCGCCGGTGGGCGGGTACAGACAGGGACTGAAAAAAGTTGGGTGGAGTTTAACAGCAGCGCTTTTAGAAATGGGTCCCAAACCTCTTTAGTTAGACAGCAGAGTTACCCAAGAAGAGCTGGAAACACCTGATGGTCTCTGTGGGACAATCCGCTCCATATCAATCCCCTCTTTACTGTCGGAAGATAAATCTACCTCCAGGCTTCATTTTTGTCGAGTGTTTTTTTTTTTGTTCTCTCTTCTGAAAAAGTACCAGAGCCTGCTGAGCTCTCCTTCTCTCCCTTCATCCAAAGAAATATTGATAAGGAGAAATTGCACTACTTTTTTTTTTTTTTATTGTAACTATTTATTGTACTTTGCACTAACGATGCACACCACGCAGAAGGACACCACCTATACGAAGATTTTTGTCGGGGGTCTTCCCTACCACACCACGGATTCAAGTCTCAGGAAATATTTTGAGGTGTTTGGAGAGATTGAAGAAGCGGTGGTCATTACGGACAGGCAGACCGGGAAGTCGAGGGGTTATGGATTCGTAAGTATCATTTAGAAATGAAATATAAAATGAAGTCAAACTTTTGAAGCAAGTGAGGAAAACCTTGCTATCGTAAGTTTATCCTCGTCACAACCTACAGACATGAATATATAGCTGCACGTAAAAGGTGTTTGTGTTTTGATAAGAAAATCCAAACTAAATTTGTCACAGGCTTCTGTTGCAATCTCTCACCCACCTACTTGTTGCGCTCCGGTATGCGGCCTGACACGTCTGTAAGTGAGCTGACAGCTGCGGCCGGCTGACCAAAAAACCGCACCATGATGTCTCGATATTACAGAGCAGCTTTCTTCAGGGGTTTCATCACCTCAGAGCTGTTTACAACTTTACTCCCAACAGTTGGTTAAATATTTGACTCCCACTTGTGATAAAACTTCATGCACAGACGTGGAGACACAAAACAATCCATACTCAAAGTTTCATGTATAACAGATAGACTGAAACAGGACTTCTTAGAGATGGAGAGACACCAACGTTATATGACCTCTTCTTCTCAAAAATCATTGAATTATGTTGAAATATTAAAAGAATGCAGACATGTTCTCCACATAACCCCTAGTGGAGCTAAATCAAGACAGTGTTAATGAAAAATGTTCATCGTTAAGACAAAGAGATAGGCAAATGTCCTGTTAGTTTTCAAGCATGACTAAGTTTCAGCTTCCTTTCTAGTTTACCTACATACTATAACTTCTTCTTGTCATCTTACATTTATGATTATGACGTTTCCTTTACAGTAGGAACAGTCTTTATTTGTATATATATTTATTATATTCTAATACCTAGCCTTTTCAGAGACTCTAACAGTGTGTAAGAAATAACTTCACCCAATCTACCAGCTGTCAAGAGTTTCAGAGTCACCCTTGCTATTCAATAATTGATCAAGTTCCTAATAGTTTTTACTAAATAGTTTTACATTATTTTTTCCTCAACCCCAACTCAGTTTAGGGTATAATTCAGTTGTAATGTTAAGAGAGAGCTCCTGACTGGTGCTGCTCTGAGCTCAGTGATAAAGTTAGGTTGTTGCATTTGGAGCGATGAAGGAGATGTGTTCTGTCAATCATCTCAGCCTGGTTCTGATTCCCCACTGATAGTCTCAACACTTCCATGAGGTCGATGGATGTGTGTGCGAGCCTCACACACCCAATGAATACATTTGTACACAAAATAATGTTTGCTGTTACAAAAACTCATCACTTTAGGAGGAGTTTACCTCCCTATGTGCTCTTAATTGTTCCTTTCTATTAGATGGCTCTTTCTCATTTTATGTGTTTCCTCCTTCTTTCGTGTGTCAGGTGACGATGGCAGACCGATCGGCTGCTGACCGGGCCTGCAAGGACCCCAACCCAATCATTGATGGCAGGAAAGCAAACGTCAACCTGGCCTACCTGGGGGCAAAGCCTCGTGTGATGCAACCAGGTAAAGAGATGAAAAATACACATGGTTTATTGTTTACCACAAGCTACAGAATTGTCCTTTTTTTTTTTTTTTTTTTTTACTGATATGTGCAGTCAAACAGGTTCAGATGTTAATCTTTAAAGAGCCAACAGCATGTTTAATCAACATAGTGATTGTCTTTGTTCTGACTGTTTGTTTGGGATTGTGGATTTGGTTTAATTGACAAAGCAGCAAACAAGAAAATCAAGTCAGTCCTTCCTGTTTTTCCCCGCAGGGCTTGTGTGGATTTTAGAAAGTTAGAGTGAATGTAAGAACATGTTTGCAGGTTCATATAGATACTCAACTGGTGTAAATTGGCGAAGAAGAGGATATTGTAGTTTTTTTTAACTTTCAAACCATCTTGATCCTTTATCTGGTCTGTTTTTTAGGTTTTACTTTTGGTGTTCCCCAAATCCACCCTGCGTTCATCCAAAGGCCTTATGGGTAAGTACCTATAAACGTACGAGCATCATAGACAAATGTTGGTATGTACACCTTGTTTATGTAGACATGTATTTTCTCTCAATTTAATGTGTGAAAAATCATACTGAAAGTCTTTTTGTAATAATTTGATCCCATTTTCTCCAAAAACAATGGTGGATGGCTGATAATTAGAGATGGACACTAAGTTGTATATATTTTGTCCATAAACCAGGTAAACTGCCTTTTCTAGGTTTGCCTGTTTATAAAAGTGTGTGTGAGTGTGTATGTGTGTGTGTGTGCTGAGTGGACATTGATGGAAACTTTCAGCCTGACTCAATGTTGTCTATCTCTCTCTGGTCCGACAGGCTTGCTCTCAGTTAAGCTAACTCTGCTGGTTTGTGGAATAGTTCAGCGAACGTAATCACAGATCAGAGAAAAGGAATAACCCGTAGACTCAAACGCACACAAACAAGCTCTCAGAATGGTGATTATAGATGCATGTACGTGGGTTTTGACCTTCTTCTTTTTTTTTTTTTTTTTAACTTTATTTGAATAGAACTTAGAGCTTTGTGATATGAAGTGGTGTTGTTAGCTAAACCGTGTGCTTTCTTACTTTATTGACATAAAAAAAAAAATGGATTGATTGAACCTTTTGGGTGTTCTTTTTCC